CCTTTCTCCGGCTCCATCTCGCTGAACTGAACTCTTTGATGATGTTGAAGAGATTGAATGTCGGCTTCTCGGAGAACTACCGCTGCTCACTGAACCGGAGTTCGCCTTCTTAGGGCGCGCCTGGCCCTCGGGTGCGTCGGCGGCTGGTCGTTTCGGTGATGTTTGCGTAGGGGGGTTGAAGTCGTCGAGTGTCAAAACCTGAAGGGCGGGCTGGTGTTTGAACGACCATCTCAAACCCTGCGCGAATCCTCCACACTTGATTCCCTTCCGTGTGCATTGTTCACAAGCCGGTCGCGTCTCGTCACATTTCAACTATCGCGGGATTTTGTCAGCAACCATATGTGGGGTCGTTTCCGTGAGATCCTCGTTCATTGAGATCCAGGGGACAGGCATCAGACGAGTTGGCAGCAACGTACGTGCTTGGCTTTGCAAGTGACACAGCCCGATCTCGACCGAGGATTGAGACCAGTTCTAGTTTTGGATACCGACTTTGAACTCTTGGGGGGTACCATTGAACTTTATTCTAATAAGTGAGGGGTTTCTCAGTCGGTTGAGAATTGTTGAATGCGGTAGTCGATAGGATTCAGATCAAAGTTGTTTCGACGCGAATTCGAGTTTGTTGAGCAAGGGACGGATGGAAGCAGGCCACAAGGACTTTTTTGTTCCGAAAGTCACCGGTCGTCGGTGTTCATCGTGATCGGATGAGGGTTCATACTGGTAGCCCAGGCCCAGTCGCGGCAGTGCCATAAACGCGGGGGAGGGCATCTTATGACGCTATTTGTAGTTTAAGGTATCTTGGCTGGCGCATGATAAGCTAGCGACGTTCATGATTGGTGGTAGGGGCATGTTTGATGGATGAGACGGGTTGGAGCAACCCGCCAGCCATCCTTGCAGCGGGAGAGCGGCACAGCTGGCAGACCGATGCCGCTGGATATTCGTTTCGCCTTCGATGTCTATCGTGGTTGATTCTCACTGGCCATAGAGCTTCGCCGTATTGCATTCTGTAAGGTCATGCTGGAACATTCATGTGTACTGTGATTGAAGAGTAGACATGGCCCTGTGGATCTAGTGAATACAGGTAACCAGGCTCATAGAACTTATGAAGACTTCATCAGGAATATGCACTGCCTGTCGTCGCTCCGACGGTCCCGTTCTGGTGACACGAAGTAGGCAAAGGTCAGCCCGCTAGAGGTTCAGCTCAAGACACTATAAACGTGAGTCAGAGTCATGCTTTTCGTATAACTTCGTATAATGCTACATATATGGCCACTTGCCCTTCTGCCTGAAGACCAAGAATGCCTGAAAGAAGAAGGAAAAAGGAGACCATGTTGATCCCGAATTCCCGCAGACTCTTTGGTTTTCGGCGCTGCGGCGATAAGAAAGCCAAGGACCAAGGGTGGGAGAAGAATTCCAGGGATTCAAGGGGTTCCAGACCAAGATACGCGGCGATCGCCCCCGGTTCACCCCCGCATTATGCAGGCTCAAAGCCCAATCATGGCCACTCTATTGCCCTTTATCTATCCCGGTACCGGGATGGCCGCCGCCGGAGGACCAATTTGCCCAAGATAAGCCCAGCCAGTGCCTCTTCGTGTTTCCCATGCTGCCCTCGCACTTTCAGAGACTCCTGCCATCGTTCTCTTCGCATTCCATATTGACAGTTATATCGGGGTGGCTTGAACTCGAGTGATAGGGTGGCTGCATAAGCGTCTCTCAGATACTCCGACTTCGGCCGGCATGGCTGGTCCCTGGCCGAAACTCACGATACCAATGAGGCCGACCAACTCATCAATGTGCGAGAAGAACACGTCGTGAATCTTCATCTTCTGGATGTTTGCGTGTCTTTGGAGTGTAATGCGTATACAGGAGTTTCAATCTCACTTCAATGCTTCATGTACCCCGCATTCTGCTATTCCTGTTTCGTCGAGCGCGCTTCGCTCCCGCTGATCTGCTGTCGTTTTCATTAGTAACGAATTCCACTCACCTCAATGTACCTCCACGTCACCTCGCGCTCCCGTGTTAGAGACCTGTAGCTCATGGCTCACGCGGCAAGGCACTACTGATGGTCTCATTATGGAACCGCCTGTACATGTAGCCAGCTAACAATATCACGACTAAGTTCGATGGCGGCTCCAAGCCCCAACCTACCTGTAAGGTAGAGTCCTCCTCGAGTTATCTCGTGATTAGATCAGTGAGTTAAAGTGAAATCATTGTGACAGTATGATATGGAGACTCTTGAGACTTTCTCCATCCTCATAAAGATGCCGGCTATGCATTGTGGAAAGAAAATACATGTTATATCATTGGACAGTCCATTTCTTCTCCCATCCCTTGAAGAAAGGCGCTTCGGCTAAGGTCTGCGGCTCCCAATCCTTCTCAATCAGGCCATTCTCAACCTGATACTTCTCATAATCCTTCAAGGTCGGCTTGACCACGTGCTCTACATGCCATGTTCCTTTGTACTTCAGGAGGCTCTCCTTACCCTCGTTCAACACTTTGAGAACTAAAGAAGGAATATAAGGCTCATTTTTGAACTCAGTTAATGGCGTGAACAGGGCTTTGAAATTGAAGACAACGCCTCCAGACAACGGTAGGCGGCGCAAAGTCTGCCAGTCAACGCGTAGGTGAACTTCTGCGGGCTGAAGGCTGGGGGTTTGATGCTCGCGATGAGAAAATTCGGGGTGTTCGGAAGGAAGATACAGCGGCTGGCCTTTCTCAAGACCCCATGAACCACGTTGAATGGGTTTGTTGGTGGGCATCTTAGTGAAGAATCTAGAGTTATGTTAGTGATAGGAACATTGAACCATCAACCGCACCCAGATCGGGGTCTTACCGATCCATGCTAAATTCCATCTTTTCTTTGTAGTCTGGGACAACTTTGTGTATGCCTGGCAGCCCCAAGCCCACCTTTTCACTTAGTTTCCAGCCAACAGAAGAGCATATTATTCCGGCTCTCAAAACATACTTTCCAGTCTCGTGATCTCGAAGCATGATTCCAAAGTCCTCAGGGACATTGTCCAAGAGCACAATCAGTGGCTCAGTGGCAGAGAGATCCGTCGTTGTTCCAAGAATGTTGTTGTACAAGATGTTGCCCTCGAGTTTGAATTGATTGGGATATCTTGCGCAGATAAACTGGATGACCATTTCCATAAGTTCTTTGCAGGCGAGCTCGGAGCCCGGCATGCTATCGAGAACATCACTGCCGTTCTTTGCGTACAGATCTTTGCGCTCGGCAACGCGCTCCCTGTATGTGTTCTCAAGTTCGATCCAGAAATCCGTATCCATCTTGGTTAGAGCTGGCAGTAAAGATATGAATTTAAGTGTACAGATTCTAGGATCCTGGCGGGACTTACACATGGTCTGATGATAAGCCCATCTAAACGGTCGGTAGGGTCGCGGGACGGCCTTGTCAATGTCAAAGTTTGTCAATGGCGACGGCAACGGAACACCTGAGATAGTTGCATAGTCTGGAAAGTCGCCGAGTTTCTGAATGTCATCAATGCTGAAGCCACTGAAGTTGAAGAGAGAGTGGTCGGCGGATCGGTAGTCGGCATCCACTCTCAACAGAGGCTTCGGCGTCACGGCGAGGTCAACCTCTTTGACGTCCGCGAATTGTGGTCCGAGCTCCGTAATTGTGGCTCTTTGGGACGGTGGGAACGCGTTCACATAGCTCTGTTTCTCGGCCGTAGTGACGGAGGGCTTCTCGGCCGGCTGGCTGAAGGACGGGGCGCGGTTGAACCTCGAGAAAACCCTCCGGCTGTCAATGAGAGTGTTTATGAGATAGAGGAGGGCACCGGTGAATGCGGCGATGCCAAGCACTGTTGTGACGGCATAATGGTCACCGAATTCAATCGCGGAGGACATGGCGGACGATTCTTTTGCTCTGTCATACAGAATGACTTAGCACCGATACGTTCATTTTCGTCGCTGGAAGCTAGGGGATAAGTATTCGCAACTCGCGAGCATAAGCATGGTCTATCAAGATGCTCAGAAACACAAGTCACAGGGTCGAGTTGATGCATCTGGTAGATTTAGCCAGCAGCCGACTCCATGCTACCGTTTGACCATCCGCATGATGCGGCGCGTTACAGTCTGGAGGGTAGGACGTCGTCCTTCACACCCTCACCGGAACCGGAAAGATTATACGGATGAGAGCTTGAGCCTTGATCCATTTCGCGTCACAGAGTCTAGCCCAATTTGTTAAATCTACCCGGCACCCTCTCTCATCCACTGATGATGCAGCGATAAGGTCAGGAACAGGGGATGCGGGATGACCCCGCTTGATGACGACCCTGTCTTGGATGTCTCCCACGTCTCCCACGCTCCCCCGGCTGAGCCCGCAAGCCCGTTCCTCACGCGGCTCGAAGCTGCGGAGGCCGCAGCGCCCGTGCATCTCTAATGCCGTCAGGGTTTCCTTGCATGTATCCGTAAGCTCCTATCAAACAAGACTCAGCTGCCTAGGTAGCTCAGTGCTCCACTGACCAGAAGCCAATGTTTAGCTATACAGTTGGGTTAGTACACATGGCTTATGACGCCGTGCGCCCTTCCCCTTTTCACGTGTTGAACCCGAACGGCTTCCCTTCAAAACGCCTCCCTCCCGCTCTACTTGACTCTAATTGGACAGGCTCCCGCATCCGTTTCCAGCAGTTTAGACCGGTCGTGGTTCACGGTGCAAGACAGTTGAACCCACTGATCCTCATCCCTTTCCAGTCACCCCTAGCAATGCCCAGCCTTTTGGTGCCCAGAAACCAACTCGAGAGCTTCCTGGATTGAGTAGAAAGATAGGTCTTTTCGTGTCCCCGGTGAAGCTCGTCTATCGGGGATAAGCCAATCAGGGAGGGTGGTGTTATCTAGCATCCGTTGCCCAAGACAATTGTGAACATGCTTAATTTTGTTACAGAGCCAACCTTATCTGGGGTTCGGACTGGTGCCAAGTGATAGCAACACCGACAGCATGGCAGCTTGGCCAACATCTGAAGATTGGCGAAAGCTTTAAGTGGCTCCCTTATGTCCCGTCAAATTTTGTAGGTTGACGTTCCGAGGCTTTGGTTCTTTAACAGAAAGAAAGCAACATTGCCTTCTCGTGCCCGCCGCCTCAGTCATTGCACCATAACATCTTCCCTGTTGGAGATATTGTCGTGATATATCATGGCGGAAGTCATCCCTGTGACCGAGTTCCCGGACTATGCCACGGATCCAACGGGAGGCAATCCAATCACCCATGACCTCAATGCACCTTATGACAAGGTAAGGAAAGAATTTGACAAAGTTTCTTCTGAAGACCTAAAAAACACCATTCAATTGGATTCCAAAGCCCGCTAACTCGTGCGAACAATCCGTAGGGTGACCTCTGCTGGGTGTTGGTATGCACGATCCTGTGCTGGCAAATTACGCCAGCCATCGGCTTTCTCTACGCCGGAATGCATCGCAGGAAATCCGCCATGACGATGGTCCTCCAATCGCTCTTCTGCGCATGCGCCTGTGGCCTACAATACTGGATATACGGTGCATCGCTGTACCAGTCACGCACGACAAACCCTATCCTCGGCGACCTGTCCCACGCCGCATTTCACAACCTCCTAGCTTCTCCTTCGTTTGCCAACAGTGATATCCCAGACATCTTGTGTAAGTCAAGTCTCTCCTGAGATGGTCGATAATGACAGGGATGGGGACACTAATAATCGTCTGTTGGACAGATGCTGCCTTTGGCTTCACCTTTGTTACAGCTACGGCAATGATTCTGGCTGGTGCCATGCTCGAGCGCGGCCGTCTTTGGCCCAGCATGCTCTTCCTTCTCTGCTGGAACACGTTCGTCTACTACATGTAAGTTCAAGACCTTCGATATCGTGCACATGTTTCTGAGAGTAATGCTGATTTGCCCTTTAGCTTGGCATATTGGGAGTGGAACCCTAGCGGTTGGCTCTACAACCTTGGCCTCTACGACTTTGCGGGCTCCGGCCCGGTCCATATCGCCAGTGGTTTTGGAGCCCTTGCCTGGTCCATGATGCTGGGTCCCCGCATCGACGACAGCAGCACGTCCACGAAGAAGAGGCACGTCCCACAGTTCAGGGGCCACAACCCTTTGCTGATGACTCTGGGTACCGTTCTCATCTGGTTCGGATGGTTTGCCTTCAACGGAGCTAGCACGGCTAACCTCAGCTTGCGGTCCATCTATGTCGTGGTGAACACCAACTTTGCTGCTTGTGGTGGTGGAGTTACGTGGGCCTTGTTGGACTATATGTACATGAAGAAGTTCAGCTTGGTTGGCTTCTGCTCGGGTATTATCTCCGGTCTTGTCGGTATCACCCCGGCAGCTGGCTTCGGTAAGACTATCTTTCTAGTTACATTCCCATGTTTACGTTAACGACTATAATAGTTCTTGTCTACGTCTCACCTCTTGTCGGAATTATCACAGCCATCTGCTGTTTCTACACCGTTCGATACCAGCATATCCTCCGCGTCGACGACGGTCTCGATATCTTTGCCATTCACGGTGTCGGTGGATACGTTGGTGATATTCTGACGGGTCTCTTTGCCCACAAGATGGTACCGGCTCTCGACGGAGTTAGCGGCGACACGTATGAGGGCGGCTGGTGGAATGGCAACTTCAGACAGCTTGGTCTACAGTTGGCAGGCGCGACGACTTGCGCTGCCTGGTCCTTCTTTGTCTCCTGCATTTTATTGTTCCTCATCAATAAGATTCCGGGCATGCATCTGCGCGCTACTGAGGAAGACGAGTTGCGAGGTCTTGATTATGCGTACATTGAGGATATTGTCTCGGACTACGACGATGGAAATATGCTGATACACAATGGCCAGGTGGTGGAGACGCCGACTCCGGCGAGCTTTTCGAAAAGCTCCTAGACCTGTAGATGCATTTTCATTTAGAGGTCTGAAGAATTAGAAGGTCGGGATAGACTATACAGTACCACGTGAAGGTCCTGTTTCTTGGAAACAATTTCTACTGGTGAGCCTAGTAAGAAATTGAGTAGCCATTCATTTCTTTAGGTATCTACACATTTAGTGTACCTCCTCAAGTACCTCTGAACCATATGTGGCCGTTACTGTGACGATCCTTCCTAGGAAGCACATAGTTATTTTTTTTTTTGTTCCAAATACCGACTGCATCAAATTTAGAGTCCCTGAATTTGTAAGAGGACTCTGAACTTGTAAGACTTCAACACCTCTCCCCTCGTTGCATTACGGGCCAAATTTGCCGGAAAGTCCCCATGAACAATGCCGGACCCAAACCCCGGCTCAATTCCAGCAGAACCCGAAAATAAGTGGATCTCGGCACCGAGTGTTCGGCTCAAACCAAACCAAAAACCGAATTACACGCACTACCCAATACTAGGTAACCACACGCACGTGACGTCAATCATGGTAAATAATTCGAGAAGTTGGAGTATGTCGTTCGTCGCTGGACCCTGGCTTTTGTCGAAGTCAGGCCACTTGAAGGTCTTGAAGTGCAGACGGCGTTTGACCCACTCGGTCATGAGCAACGGCCTAATTCTTTCTCGCGGGTTCGCAAGGCGTGGTGGCCACCTTGTGGGCTTTTCAAGAGACAACGGAGACGGTTTACTTGACAAATTAAACGAGGTCTTCTCCTAATCTCAGAACCCCACCAAGATGAGACACGACTGTGAACAGTTGAAAGTGCAGGGGGTTGGTTCATATAATATTACTAGAGACCAGACTTTTGACAGCATTCGGCACACAAGGATACGTACGTCATATCCGATGCCGATGACCCTTCTTCCTCGGAAATGATTGTAACAAGTCGCCCAACGGAACACGAAACGGCAACACTTCACCGCAGAACTCAGCGGCCATCACGTAGAAACCAGCCAATGCAGCAATAAACCCAAATCCACCGGCGATCTTGGTCAAAGTCCCACCAGCCGAGGCATTTCCGCTTGCGAATAGGAAATTCGCTGAGCAATTCAGGGTGTAAGAAAGTTCAAGCCCTCCATAGACAATGACGTTTGCGACGTTCCTAGTGTTGCAAGTTGTCCCTGGTCAGCGAGCCCCGCCCGAACAGATAGGTTCAGCACTTACGTCGCAAAAGCAGCAATGAAGAAGAAGAGGTTGAAAAGCGACCAGACTGGTTACAGCACTCAAAGTCAGTCGCAAGCTGTAGCATGAGAAGAGTAAGATAACGGAGAGAATTTTGAACAAACCAGCAAGATAGAATCCAAAGGCCGTATAATACTGCTCCGTCTTGCCACCGTAGCTGTCAACAATTCCAACCGAAGGGATCAGCAGGAAGCCATATCCGCCATAGTAAAATGCTGGGAGTTCAGTCCTTTATCACGTCATAAAATCAAGACAATGGAATGACAAACTCACCAAAAGCAATGAGTGTCGTATAGGCGAACGTGTTACCCCTTACCATTTCCCACTGAGCTGAGATGAGGAGGCCCAGACCCGCTAGGAAGCAGAGGTTGGCGATGAATACAGCTTGATTTTCAATGTCCCGAATACCCATATTAGCAAGTGATAGAGTCATCAATGTAGTCGCAAATGCACCGTAGCCAAAAGGGCTCTGCGGGATGACATGGTCAGTCAATCGCTGGTGAACTTCGAGAGGGTGCGATCCGAAGTGGACAAGTAGGAAATAATATAGTGACCATACTGAATTAGCAAGGCGTTCTTTGGACCTCGTGGGTGGCCTGATTGACTCTATGTCGACTTTACATGTAGTTTCGGCAGACATTTTGAAAACGTCTGATAGTGACGGGGCGTAGTTAGAATGTTAGATGAAGCACTGGAATAAATCGGGACATGAACTTGCGACTATTGTTAAGGCGAAGGCATGGTTATGAGCATTCAGAGTTCCAATGAACAATACCGGGTCGACGTGTTGCCGCTATTGTTATAGGAGGCGAAAAAAGTTTCACTTGGTCATGAGCCATGTTGGCCGGGCTTTGAATTTTTCACCTCGGCGACTCAATGCATGCCTCATTACATGCTCAGTCCAAATCCCTTCGCCGAGGCGTATTATTAACGCAACTTGATTGAATGATCTTTTTCAGCGAGTCCACTTCTGGCTAATCCAGGTCCGATTTCAGTCCTGTTCGTTGAACACAGCCATGTACATCAAACGGATCCATCATCGCTAGCCAATGTACATTTGTCAACTTTCAATCGTCCCATTGATCGACAACGTGTTCTTTTTATACATGGATACCACACTATCCATCAAGACTAGCCGTTCAGGTAACATAGGCAAACATTCCGACCTTACCTATGCCAATACGTAAACTTCGTCGCTGGGAATGAGCTGGTGTGGCACCATTTCAACTCCATCTAAGGATACATGCACATGGTTTTCATTCAATGTCTGGGAAAGTAGTTTTCGTTAACTCCGTCTTATTGCCTCGAAGTCGTAAAGATAGTAAGTTTTAGAAATTAAGGACAAATAGCACCACCTCGTAACGCCATACACCGCCCCTCCAGCCATCATCCGTCATGGTCGCATACAGTCTGTGGCCCAAAGGCTACATGGAGTTTCAAGTAACAAGAAGCTTAGTACCCTCCATTGCGACGCCTCTCATCCTCTCTGCGTTGCTGCTCATAGTCCTGAATGCGGTCGCCGTACTTGTCCTTGTCGTTCTGGGCTTTCCGAATTTGCTCGTCGTACCTAGTGCGGCGGTCCTCCTCAGCCCTGATCAACTGGTCTTGCTTGTTCTTGTCGTACTGAGATTCGCGGATCTGTTGGTCCGCACGCTGGCGCCTAGCTTCTTCGGCACGGATTTCCTGATCATAGTTGTTCTTGTTTGCGTTGTTGCCGTACCTGTCCTTGGCTCGTTCCGCATCCTGGATGCGCTCGCCACTGCGTTGCTTCTCGTATTGAGCCTTGCGAATTGCCTCATCCTCCTTGTCCTTGTTGTACTCTCCATTCTTAATCTTGTCGCCGCTCTTGTTCTTGTTGTACTCGGCTTTGTTGATACGAGAATCCTCACGCGCACGGTCTCTCTCCAGTTGACGAATTCTCTCATCGTCCTTGTTGCGCTGGTTCGAGTAGTAGTTGCTGTCCTTATTCTGGTAGTTGGGATTCTTGTAGTCATTGTAGGTTCCCGACTTGCCACCATAAGACTTTGGATTGAAGTTTGTTGTCGTCTCAGGCGTCTCGACGAATCTGCCGGTACGTCCACCACCCCTCTTGGCGTCCGCTAGCTCCTGCTTCTCCTTGTCCTTCTGGGCTTGAAGGCGGGCCTTGTCTCTCTGGTTCTGGCCTTTCACTCTGTCGAGGGAAGCTTGCTCCTCCTGCTTCTTGCGCCTAGCGGCTTCCTTGTCTCGGGAGTTCGTAGCGCCCTTCTGTCTCTCGCGGGCCTCTTGAATTTCTGCCCGCTCCTTGTCTTCCTTCGCCTTGCCGCTTGCATGTTGCTTTCTCTGATCTGCTTGGATATCCTTGATCTCGTTCTTTTCCTTCTGGACTCTTCCCTTGTCAACCCTGTTATTGTTGTTGTTGTTGCCCCGCGAAGATGAAGTCCGAGATGAAGAAGTGCGACTCGAAGACGATTTCTTATTGTCACGAGACTCAAGAGTGCCATGCTGATCGTCATCCACCTCCAAGTCACGAGACTGGAAGGTCGAGTAGACCTCGCTGACTTCCTTAAGGTCCCGTGCCTCAAGGTCACCAGACTCCTCGGCGTCCTCTAGACCTCGAGCAGAGATGCCAGCGACAGAGGAAGCCTCGACGTACTCATACTCGTACTCGTCCTCATCTCGGGCCTCGAGGTCAGCGTAGTCCTCGCTGGCTTCAATATCGCGGGTCTCCAGAGAAGTCCGAGGGTTCTCATCAAAGACACTTGCGGCATTTTCTTTGTTCTCGAAACGGGTGATGAGAGGAGCCGCAAGGGTGCTCGAAACGAGAGCGGAAACAAACAAAACTTTGACGGAAGGCATGTTGTGAGGAGGTAGGTGACGGAGACTACTCATGGAGACAGAAGGCTGAGTTGCTAGAGGAAGCTGGGTTTGTAAACTGTGAAGTCTGCAGCCAGTCTGACAAAGAGGAAGCTCTATGGGAAAGCGGGAGGCCTTGTCATCTTTAATACGTATCTCAATACCACAAAATGTTTACTCAGTTCTTGAGACTATGTTTTGTTTGTTAGACTAGTGAATAAGTCTAAAATTCTCCGGTAAGGTTAAGTTGATAGTCTGAGACGGCCGATATCTTAGCCTTGATCTTGATCCGTCGTCGGCAGTGACCTGGCAATGGCTTTCAGGGTGTGAGAAAAACGAGGCTGTTTCTCATGATCTCGGAAGCCCGATTTGTCCTTGCGGGCGCAACACTCACGGTACACAAGCTTAGCTATGGGCCGTTAGGTAGGAACGGGATGTGAGGGTGAGTAGCATGCCTTCAACGCGTGTTCCGAAAGACTTCGGACGGAAAAGCTTGGTCTTCATGCGCAAAAAGTAGGGCGACGCAGTAGATGTCCATAGCGGACCCGAGAGCGACAAAGTCCGTCCGCACGTCGTTCAACACTGACAGCGTTTATTCCTTCCGCGGAGCTCCAGAAAGCAGGGCGGTAGAGTCCAGGGGCCCTGTCGACTGCGTCTGGATTCGAGTCGACCACCGCGGGGTAGGGCAACTTTAGACTCAACAGTGAGCACGACTAGCTTAAAATGGTAACTGAGCGCGGGCCTGATCTTCGCGGGCCACGTACATCTCCCGCTGCGGGGTACTGAGAAGAAGCCAATCGGTTCACGAGGCCGAGCAAGTCGTCGTAACGGCCGCAACGATCAATGAGATGCCAAGAGCCTCTGGACCATTACCCCTCGAAGCTTGAGTCTCTTCTCAACTACTTCTAAGTTTACTAGAGAGAGATCGGAAGCGAGAGCTCGCTTCCAGTTGACAATCGCGCGCTCGTAAACTCTCATTCACGTGGGAAAGGGTTCACGAACATCTGTGAATTCTCTCCTTTGCCGATGTCCGATAAGCGAAGCACCTCGTCTACTCCCGATTCTTTGGAACAGACAACGCATAACTTTCGGCAACCTACGAAGCTTCGGCCGCGTACTACGCCGGCCAAATTCTCGGCAATGCTGGCCCCAGATTCGCATCGTTTGGACCTTCATCCCGCTAGCCCGGACCCGACTCGATGGAGCAAGCGAGCCGCAGATGGTCAGCCATACAGAACGGCAATCAAAGCTTCACTGGCGCAAACTGTATCGTGTGGCGCTGGACTCTCCTGTTGAGATTGGTTTGACTTTTAGCTGCCTGACTTTGAAATATTTCAAATCATCTGCAAGGCAACAAAACTCAACAGAAGCCTGGGCCATCTCGCGGAAATCCCGCTTACAAGGTTAGGTAGATCAAGACTGGAGGCTGTTCAGACTCGATTCGTCGACCAACGGCTTATTCTCCTTCCCCCCGAAAAGTGTGTAGGTGGATTATTTCGTTTTATCCATCTTAGTACTTTCTCTCCCCACTGACGATCCTAGAATATGGATCGATGGCTTCATCAACCTTAGCTTACAATCATTAAAGCAATGACAACTCCAAAATTCCTTTGGTGAATTCGTTAACATTAAGTCTTTATCTCTTTCTTCTTCCCTAACAGCATCGACAGAGGTTTTCTAAAAAGCTCATTGCAGGAAAAGTCTATGCCAACACGCATGTACCTTATGGCTGACGACAAGCCCCAATGTCTGCGTGCAAAGATGATTCGCTTGCAGAGAGGATAATGGTAACAACCATGGGACTTGGGGGATGATTTCGAGCGTTGCGAATAGACAGCTTAAATCATCTGAAGCCCTAGCCAGAGAGACGTTAACTTGGTTCAGTAACCCCCTCGACGACCAAGAGAGTAAGTACGTTCCATCTGCTCACCATCAGTCACTGCACATACCGGCAACATCGTGAGCTCGCAACACACCTGTTCTCTAGCTTCCTATATGCATTAGTTCAATACAGACACAACCTATTAGAATGTGCTTTAAGCCCACTGAAGCTGAAAGTTTGACTTCTGTGGGTCCCGCAAGTGAGGTTGACTAGGTACCTAATGCACCTTTATGTTGAATAAGGTGCGGGTATCTAACGGGAATGCATAGGGGCCGAAGGCTTGCGGACCTTTCCTTGCTTCGCGAGGGATTTCTGGTATGATCAAATCAATTCGAAACTGGTTTCCAACCTTCTATGTCACTTAGTCTGAATCAACAGCGAGCACCTCAGAGGCTGACTATATCTCAATACATGTATGATGGACTAAGTGCTTGCCTCACCCGTGACCCATGTCCTGCCGAGTACACTTACTGGGTGAAATTGTGAGTTCAAAGTGTCTGAGGATGACTTTCCCTTGGTCTTGGCAATATCTTCCATCTCATCCGTATGACTGGTGTAACTGCAATGTTATCTGGCGCCCGGTTCCGATCGGCCGAAGATCCATAAAAAAGCCCCGGAGCTGCCGCTAGTCTCTCGGCACTTTCTTCGAGACGAAGCGGCTGGGGATGTCCCGCCTTGGGCCCCACATCATTTCCGAAAAGGTGCAAAGGGAGTCCTCCCTCCGCACCCCAATCGGCATTACACCGCCTCGGCGCTCTTGGAATACGGGGAATTCGCCTAGGCGACAAGTTGATCGCCTCCAAGAAAGGCGCGAGGTGTTCGTATTGGTCATTAGCTGTAGTAGTCTTGGCCAGTTTAACTGAAGTGCCGTTGGATTTTCATTGGCTCCGGTTTAGGTTGCTCTCTAACGTGGAGAGCCGACGCTCTAGCGGCGACATAATATTCACCCAATTTCCAACAAGAGTATAAATGCTCCTTATGGGGATGAATTATCTGATCTGCCCATCATCTCATTTTCCCATACACCCGCACCCAGAGAACGGCGGCCCATCATGAAGCTGGCCCTTGTGTCGATCTTCGCCAATTTGGCCAGCATCCAAGCTCTGGCCGTTCCAGAGCCTAGACAGGCTTCGACCTTCCCGTCGGCAAGTGGCACAAAGTTCACCATCGATGGCCAGACAAAATACTTTGCCGGCAGCAACTCATACTGGATCTCGTTCCTGACGAATAATGCCGACGTCGATCTCGTCATGGACAATGTCGCGAAAGCCGGACTCAAAATCTTTCGCGTATGGGGCTTCAACGACGTGAACGCTGTCCCCAGCGGAAACCAAGTCTGGTACCAACACCTCTCAGCCTCTGGATCACAAATCAACACTGGCGCCAACGGACTCCAGCGACTCGATGCGGTCGTCGCTGCCGCGGAGAAGAAGGGTGTGAAGCTCATTATCCCCTTTGTGAACCACTGGGATGACTACGGCGGCATGAACGCCTACGTGAAAGCCTTTGGCGGTTCGAAGGAGACTTGGTACACCAATACACAGGCCCAAACTCAGTACAAGGCGTACATTCGCGCCGTCGTGAGCCGCTACAAAAACTCTCCTGCCATCTTTGCCTGGGAACTGGCCAACGAACCCCGCTGCAAGGGTTGCAGCACCGATGTGATCTTCCAGTGGGCGCAAGCGACTTCCCAGTTCGTCAAGTCATTGGACGCAAACCACATGGTCACTCTCGGCGATGAGGGCATGGGACTTCCCGGCGACGGAAGCTACCCCTACCAATACAGCGAGGGCACTGATTTTGTCAAGAACCTCGGCATCAAAACGCTTGACTTTGGCACTTTCCACATGTACCCCGATCATTGTAAGTCACCTGGAAGAGACAAGCTTTCTCATTCAAGTCTTGTCCGAATGGCGGGGGACGAACATAATCAACTGACACGGGGGAACAGGGAGCGTCGATCTGAAGACGTGGTCTCCCGGCTGGATCAAATCACACGGCGAGGCTTGCGCGAAGGCCGGTAAACCCTGCCTCTTTGAAGAATGTGAGTTTGTTTCCTCGTGTCTGATGTTTAAACTCAATAAGCTCACACCTAAGAAGACGGTTCTTTGAGTGATCATTGCGGCATCGAGGGACCCTGGCAGCAGGTCTCGCGGACGGCGCCGGGACTGGGCGCCGATCTGTTCTGGCAGTGGGGAGATCAGCTGAGCTCAGGGCAGACTCACAACGATGGGTTCACGATCTACAAGGGCAGCAGCGATTACCAGTGCCTGGTCGTCGACCATGTGAAGGCAATCAACGGGTGAAGATTTGACGCGCGCTAGCTAGCTAGAGTTTGCGATGACAGGGAAGGGCATTCAATCACAGTCAACAGCATCTAACCTGATCCTCATGGATCCTGTTTCATCCCCGTAATCAGCGATGATCGCCCGAATCATCCGAAATATCGACGGTGAGGCTCAAATACCTGATTCAATAGGGGCCGGGAGCCATCCATCCGACGACGTTAAGTCCTGAAAAGGGATAGTCAGGGTCATGGCATCAAATGGCACCAGCTCCCATAGGTACACCATGGAGGCGTTTCAACGCTGGAAGCATGATGAATCCTGAATTGGGATCCTGCTTCTTGCAGGAGTACATGTCATAACAGCATCATGTTGATACACTGCGAGATAATATGAATCCTGTAGGATTCCGTCGAAAGTGCAATTGATTGTACTAGAACGAAGGATAAGTAGGGAGCTGCAAGCGCTCTAAAGTCGCCATTTACATCAGGAAACAAGCAGCATTAGTACCTAGTCTCGGCCCATGAGTTGCCTCTTTGATTACCATCTATCGAGTCATGATATTTCTCGGCCGATCTGTTTTGATGCTAGTCTGTTTCTCCTCGATATGGACTGCCTCAGCTGAAGACAAGGTTAAGATCATGCCCCTCGGAGACTCGATCACTGGCAGCCCAGTAAGTTTTCTGCTCTCTGGCTCTATGTTCTCTGGCCCCGCTTGTGTGTTTCTTTGAAAAGTAAGATGTTGACGAGTCGCGATGGATTAGGGCTGCTGGCGAGCTCTATTGTGGAAGAAGCTTCAGGATAGCAATATCAAGAATATCGATTTTGTCGGAACTTTGCCACCGCAGGGATGTGGTTTCGACTACGACGGAGATAATGAGGGCCACGGTGGTCTTCTTGCGACAGACCTTGCTCAGGATAGTAGACTGGAGCGTTGGCTTGGGGATACGAAGCCTGATATTGTCATGATGCACCTCGGCTCAAACGACGTGTGGAGTACGAAGAAGCCCAAGGAGATTCTTGGCGCACTGGATAAGCTGGTTGACCAAATGCGGGCTAGCAAAGAAAGCATGAAAATATTGGTGCGTATTCTCTCGCGAGCTGTCTTTGGGCAACATGGCCACTAAACATGGCTCTAACGTCCGAATACCCTCTTCAGATTGCTCAGGTAATCCCCTTAGAGCCAGCCGGCTGTACAAACTGTATGCGAGGTGTTGAGGATTTCAACAAAGCCATGCCAGATTGGGCGAACAGGAAATCAAATGAGAAAAGCCGCATTACTGTGGTTGACTGCCATAAGGGCTTTGATGTCAAGGGAATGACGCGGGATGGTGTACATCCCAACGGCAAGGGCGACGAAAAGCTCGCTGATAGTTGGTTTGAGCCCCTGTTAAAGGTCATCAAAGGGGGCTAAGATGTTTATGAATACTGAACTTTCCGCCTATTATGCCTTTAATACAGATCAAATCATATTTCCTATCGCTGGGGACTAATAGCTGATATTGATACTTTGTCTTCTCTTCTGTGATGTCTTATCAATCGTAAGAAAGCGAAATGATTAGAATTTCATGGTAGCACCCCTTCAAGGGTTATATCAGTTTCAGGCGAGACTGCATCAGCGCCAGCCACCCATCGGCCTGTTCCTTTGTCTCCGTTCTGAAGGTCCCAAGTCGTTTGTAGATCGGAAGTGATTCGACATTCTCTCCTTGCTGTGGACTGCCCTTCACCAGAAGCCCAGTTGGGAATGATGGTGACGAAAATTTTCTCTCGCCTGAGCTCCTATCTAGACCAAAGATGATGCAGCGCGACGCGAGAACGACCGCAGATACGTCGGTAATTTCATCAGCTTGTCCAAAATCGGCCGGCTTGAAAGTGTCGTCATTCCTTAACCCCGAGGGCGCTACAGCATCAAGAGATCCTTGGGCCATGATCTCCCCCCTTTCATAGAAGAGGACCTCTGCAAGATATGTGTCTTGGTCACTCTCGGCCTGTTGTACCGGTCTCAGAACCACTGGAACGCAGACAGCGCGGAGCTCAATCCAAGCGCTCTCGAGCCTTCCAAACGGATCTGAGCCCGCGGCCTCTATATGGATGTTCTCAATACTACACTTCTGAATAAGTGGTAGTGAGAATCGCAGATCCCAAGCGATTTCTGCGTCACTAGATGCCCAGCTCCAGGATGGCGCCCTCCACGCTTTCGGTTTTGAAGGCTGCATGACAGTGTTCCAAAGCATTCCCCGTACCAAGTCATCTTTCCAAAGTCCAGCTACATATTCATCTCCGAGTGCCGAGCTGAAAGTGCGGGCTAAACCAGACAAAGCTGAGAACTTGTCATCGGAAACCGTGAGCTTGCGTCTGGTATACTCAATGATTAGATCTTTCCATCTCTCGTAGAGGCTTTCCCTTCTCTCTTTCGCCTTAGTGGGCGATATGTCTTTTGGTGCTGGTGAGAGCAGATGATGCCACTTTTGGACGTTGTCGTAAATTTTGCTGCTATGTTCGAGACGTCGCTCCGTTTGACAACGAAAGTAGGACGTGTGATTGTCGAAGTATAATACTCGAGTAGACATGAGATCTTCTTGGTATGTCCAAGCCCGCGTAGCCCATGCTCGGGTATGCATGTGGCTTGGATAGTCGGCATCCCAAGTCCGGTGTTCATTGAGACCTGACAGGACGTATGTGCCTGACACCCTACCCTGTCCCTTTTTAGACTCAAACGGGACGAGGACCGACGGCCCAGCACTAGTTCTTTGAAGGAATCCCGAATGAGAGGTATCGCCGGCAGCTGCTACCAGTGTGAGGGTGGCATGTCGATATACAGCAAACATGAGCGCGGCCTCTGTGGCCCAGTCTTCGGCATCGTCTTGGATAATGCATAGCGCATCGATCCAGATGTAATCAATCCCCATATGACGCGCAAATACTACCGCATCTCTGATCGTACTTGGCATCTCTGCAAGTGGGATCTTCGTCTGGCGGTCTGCCAGAGTGGCCGTTGTGGTGATAAGCTGTGGTTTACTGACGGATGGAGGGCCCCAGCAGTAGCTCAGAGCAATGTACGATGTTGTCGAGGGAAGCTTGTCACTCATGACCAAGCGAGCTATTTCGTCTCTCATCTCTCCCACTTTGATCAGCCGAGTCGGGAGACTTCTTGGCCCTGGAGAGCAACATCCCGGATGGTTGCTCGCGCAGCCCCAAACCCACTCCGTGAGGCGTTTAATGCAAGACGGAGCGAGAGCATTCGTGATGGGGAGTTTCAAGTCAATACCGAGGGCACTTGCAACATCTTCTTGTGATTTTCGTGATGTTAGCAGAATGCCATTGAGACGGCCAAGGCTAAGAGACACATACCATCATCTCCTTGATACGCGATAGCCCGCACTTTCCACCCTTCAGACCAAGGTCCTTTACGCCAAGCCTCAGACTCAAACCTGAAATCAAGCCAGTATATCCCGTCTTGTTCGACACCGTAATCATCGGGCATCCAATCGCGTGTGACGTCGATGATGTCGGAACGCATCACGTAAGCAGGCGAGGATAACTTGGCTACCACATCTTTCGCTGTAGACTTTTGTAACGCAGTTTGAAGTGGCTTTGGGAGCTTCTCATCGAGTACAAAGCAAAGATACTCGCAGAAAGAACAACCTGCTGCAGCCGACTTACGAAACAGTGGAAGATCTGGATAGCTATCCTTTCTCTCCCATTGCGCAGCATCGCGAACATCTCCCTTGGCGTCATCAAAAACGATGCCCGAGCACTCGTTACACAATGCTTTCGGGCTCAGTGACGGCGTTATACAGCTTGAAGCCATGATCGTATCGAACAATGGACATCAAGCGGGATGTCTGGAAGGCTAGGTGGGTTGTGGTGGTTGATGAGGGGCTTGAACCTTCAACCTACCACATTCGTCCCAATAGCTGATTGGATCAGATCCATCCATCTATCTATCTCTCCCTCCAATTGCATGCGGAGAAAGAACTAAGCCTGGCGACTCCAACTCCAAGCACAGGACTCAATTCTTTTATTTCGACTGTCCACCGAACAGTTTGTTTGGCCATAGTGCAAAAATTGACAAAAGATATAGCAAGGGCTCAATCGGGATTCGAACCCGAGACCTCGCCCATTCACGCTTTGCGCAAGGGTTGGTAAAGAACCCGAAGGGCGAATCATACCACTAGACCATTGAGCCGGAGCGACCTCCGTTGATCGGAGGCCAATGGTTGGTAGGGCGGCAAAATTTGGGACCTATGTTGGCACAAAGAAGCCGTGCATCGTCAAATTGGCAGCACATCTCAAGGCTGTGAGCTACAATTGTGAAAACCGACTTAAAGTTAGTAATTCCCCAACTTGATTAATGCTGAAAACGCCTTATGCAATCCGGCGCGCGGGGTCAAACTCAGTCGCGTGCGGAGCTCCGTCGATGGGTCGGTTGCACCTTGAAAGTCTCGAAGGGTTGCTCCTGGGACTCAGCACTGGCCAAGAACGAATCTGACGGGGCAAAATCACACCCAAGTTATTCATTACGAGACAGATTTCCGCGATGGCCTGCAACTTGAAGCCGAAAAGTTGGAAACCCGAAATGATTTCGCTACCAAACTGGCAAACAATGGGCCTTCAGACCGACCACGCGCATCTTTGTTCCATGTCCTTCCCCAGCGTTTCCACCCCGAGGAGATAGACTATGGACCAAGCTTGTTACGTACCAAATTACTGGATGGGCGTATGGGTCTGTCGAAAGAAGACCGAAAATCATCAGTCTGGTTTATTGTACATACACGAATTCCTTGCATTGATGCGTACTTAAATACTCATGTTGTTGTTTCGAGGTCAGCCTATTAATCCTTAGTCTGAAGAAATCGCTTTGCTTCTGCACTTTAGAGAAAAGTGGGCTGGCACTGATATCCTTCGATCTCGTCCCTTGAACGCTGCCTACGATTCGTTTTGCCCGATGAATTCAGCGATATGTTTGGCAGCATAACTCCTCACGGCTCAAGCCATGACCACGTGCTCAACCGCCAACGCTCGGACAATGCGATTGATGATTTCTTCCCATTGCAAACGTAATCTCGTCATGGTTATTCGCTGCTAGTATCTTCTTCATCTCCATAGAACGATCCGGGGGCCGAGGGGGAGAGCCACCATCAATCCTTGCTAGCACAACGGTCCAGGCGCTTGTCGTCCAAAGTTGGCAGTGGCAAATTGGCAACTCGCGCCTAATAAAGCACAAATTGTTCGACTTCCCTCTTCCAGTCTTTTGGCCCGGTGGATATCTCTTCCCGACAATTGACACTGACGGGCGCGAGGATCAGGACGAGGTCTGTTCCGGAGCACGGAATGCGGAACAACAACCTCCCACATGCCATGAGGCAAGGGGATCCCGAATGCGAGGCAAAGCATATCCTTGTATCACTCTCAGTTGATGGGCCGTCTCTCCTCCTTTCAGTCTCTTTCTGCGTCTGCGCAAGTTTCGCTTACGATACGCGGTGTCTTGGAATTTTCCTACCGAACATGAATACATAAACCACAGACTCTCGCCCCGGAGAGTTGTAGCCCTATGAACATTCATTTCCCGGGGTTGAACCAGCTGGAATCAACATAAGTGAGACGATATTCATCTATCTTTCCTGCTGGAAGCCACGCTGATCGCGCGGCATTTGCGAGGGCGGCTGGCGTAGATCCTGTCAGGGTTGTCCAGGTCTGCGGTTCGGGGAGAGCGATTCGCTGGAGGCGCCGGATCGCGGGAATGAGCTATCGCTGGAGAGACCACCACGACGGCACCACCACTACGACGACGGCTCCCACGCCTTGTCAGGCACGCCAGGCATGCTTCCTGGCTTGTTCCGAACGCTCGAAAATACGACCCTAATCTTACCATGGGGCTCGTGCGCTAAGAAATCCAGAGTGCAGGCGTCGTGGAGGCTTCGAACATGGTTCATGACTAGTGTACCCCTTCAACAGCGAGAATCGGCCACGCAACTACGTTTCAGTCGTCTGAACTTTTCTGGTCGAGATGAGATCTTGAGTGGCGGTATATGGTCATGGCTTCTAGTTGTTTAGACTTTGCTGGGGGGAATATGTTCATCAAGCAGTGTAGTCGAAATTTGATATAAGTCAACACCAGAATAGTGTCTACGGAGTGCATTCCGAAGCATCTCGCAACCGCCCCAACGCGGGCTGAAGCGGGGATAGAGTTGGCAAAAGTGGAACATCATGAGCCCCTTCTAATAACCAGGGACTTCACGGGTGGGTTTCGTCTGCCACTTCCGGCTAGGTAACCTGGCACGACTCCAGGGTGTCAACTATCTCGATATTGCAACGTGCCCGGGGTGATGGCAGGTGGGCAGACAAGAGCTTTCAAAAGGGGGCTCGTCCTGCCCGTCAAAACCACAATGCGGTCCGTCGTTGAACCCCCTTCCTGAATCGAGCCCGCTCATCTGCCCGTCATGCTTCGATTCAGCAGCATCCTATATCGCGAACTTTCGTGATGTTGACCTCGTCGCCTTGGGCGGCGCTCCTGCTGGCCAGCGTCCTTTCTCACTCCGCGCTCGCGGACGATTCTTGTTCAAGTTCTATTGACCCATTAGTATTACCCATAAAAGTAAGGAACAACTTCACGAGTCATTCAGTCACTTTTCATCACGTCTTACTTTCTTTGGGTGTGTATCTATGTGTGTTTCGAGTGTCTGTGTGTGTGTGTGTTGCCGTGTGCGACTGTAGCTCTTGTTGACTTACATCCTATCTCTTCAGAACGTTACCTTTCCCAATGGCATCGGTGCCAATCGAGGCCTCAAGCTCACGCTTGGTGGCCAGGTTCAAGGCATGCGCATGTCCACCATCTTAAACAACACGCGAGTGAGAAATAGTCTGGACTGCCCGGACAACTCGACATACGCATTCGTCGGCTGCCAAGGAGCCTCGGGCAGTGTATACGATACCACAGGAGGCACATTCAGCCAAGTCGTCAACATCAAGGACTGGAACGTAACGTATGGCATCTACCTAGCTGAGTTGTCTGAAATACATGACTGACTCCCCTCTAGAACCATCGATGCTCAGCCTGAAGATGGCGAAACGACGGTACTCCATGGATACGATGTCGCAAACTTCACCGATGCTCCAGCCGTAGCCTATGGATATCCCTTCGAGGTATGGGCCGATTATGATTCCATGAACAAAAGCGCCATCGCATTTGGTCCGAACTCGTCCACCCTCGACAGCTTCGTAAGGAACGACTTGGCTCCCACGACAAGCTTCAGCCTCGACTACGGCTCAACATCAGAGCTTCACCCTCGCGATGGCCAGCTAGTCATCGGCGGCTACAACGAAGCGCGCTACAACGAGTCTCAGGTTGCCGAGTTCAGCATGTGGGGAGCCAACGCCCCGGTCCCGTGCCCTCTCCAGGTTCTCGTGTCCGACATCGTCCTCACCAATACTGACGGCGATCACTCTCTCTTCGACCCGGGCGTCAAGGTGGCTGCCTGTATTGACACAGTGCAGAACAGCTTCACCCTCACGCAGAACATGTTTACCAAGCTCCAGAGCCTCGGTAACCACACCGCGACTGACGGCATGGCCTTTGGCGAATCCGACTTCCCCAAGGACCGTGAGTCCCTCCTCGGCTCCCTGACCATCAAGCTATCCAACGGTTATACAAGCGTCATCCCTCATTACGAACTGGTCAGCCATGTCCGCGGCACGGATGCCCGTGGTAGATATGCTGTGCTCAATAACAGCAGGATCAGCACCTCGGTTGCCTCAGGTATGAGTGATCTGGGTGACAACATTCCCATCCTCGGAGGCGTCTTCCTGTCGCAGAACTACCTCCACGTCGACTATGACGCGGGTAAATTCTGGCTAAGCCCGCAAGTAGCCAACGGCACTCTACCAGACCACATCACATCATCATGTAACGGCACCTCATCCTCGAGCGGCGGTAACAAAGCCGCCCTGGGCGTCAAAGTCGGCGTGCCAGTAGCCATCGGTGCCGCCCTAATCTTCTTTGTCGCAATGTGGTTCTGGTTGAAGAACCGCAAACCCAAGCAGAACGGACAGTTCGCAGGCGCGTCTCGCTCCATCCCACGATCGGAGAAGCGCGACGCCCCAGACTCCAAGTCCTCTACAACCAACTTCGCCGGCTACCACAATGTTAACCACGCGAATCCCGATGGCCATATGGAACTCGAAGGCGACCTCGGCCACGCCGTAGGCCACCAACAACAACGAGCCGAACTAGCGGAACCCGCGCCGGCCTACAAGTCGGAGTGGCCCCGGCAGAACTCTATCCAAGGCGAGAGTGCCGCGTATTATCAGCAATTCGAGGAGCCAGGCGAGAGTTACGAGCTTGCAGACACGTCGCCGCACTCTCAACTTACACAGTCTCCTCAAGAACTTCAGCAGCCTCCACACCCCCAGATCGTCATCCCACCGACGAATCCACCTCCCATCAAACGAAAGGACACCGGCTTGAGCGATTGGGTGCCGAGTCCAGCGACACTGAAGAAGCAGTTGTCAGGATTCAGCGAGGCCGTCTCACCGACGAGTACACGTGCGAACAGCACAAGGGTTAATCCACATATTTCTCCTGTTTAGCGTATTTGAGGATAGATGAGTAATGATAATTCACTTCTTGAGGCATGAAACACATAACCCTGGTACCCATGCAAACGTACAGAATAGGTTTTTGATTGGAGTTTGTGAGCGGATCGTCGTTGTTCTGTGACATTTGTGGGCACTGATGATCGATCACCCTGCCTCCTTTATGTGTTTGAGGATGATAAAGGGGTCTAGATGGCGCAGCCACTCCGTTGGATCATCGCTTCCACATCACAGAGCCTGTGGTAGTCGACGACGTTGCGCAAGAGTTGGATCAGCAATATCTAATCAGATTGCATTCAACTCCACGGGGTATCTATTCAACGATAATAATAACAGTCATATAGGCTGCCGCATCTGTAACTTTCAGTCCCATACCAAACGCCCAGGAACGTGATCGTTCCGATAATGAAACCCACGAGAGCGATGACGATCCTGCTTTTCTCTGACCGGCCTACCATCAACGCAAGCAGGAGAGAGCTCATCGGCACCAACAGCCACCATCCAAACGAGTTGTTGATCAGCGTGAGCGGCACCGATGGCGCCAACATCAACAAGACGGGACCTATCCACCACTTTTCCTCCTTGAACCACATCCAAATCGCCCTCCAGAAGCTGTATGTCGCAGGCGAGTCTGCCAACTCTAACTGAATTCTTCCGCCCTTTAGGCTCTTGTTGATTTCTTCCGAGAGCTGGTCATGAGAGAGCTCATCCGGATCGGTCTCCTGTAGCTCCTTGCGGATGGCGCCCGACAGTTCCAAGACGCCCTTGTAGCCCCTCGGCACGTCGTACCGCCGACGCATCCTCATCGTCAATCGCGCCTTTAACCACATATAAGCAAGACTCAACGTCCACAGCACGAGCAAGAGAACGAGTATGTAGAGCTGCAGATAGGAGAAGCCCCATTGGTAGCTCTCTCGCCCGGCATCGGCGCCGAGTCCGTGATCGCTCATTGGTTGGCAACTTCCGTACGCCTTCATGTACTCCTTGGAGTAGGTCTCGTTCCCGGCAGTGTAGGTCAAGTTGTTTTCGTCTTGGAAGGGCATCAAGCCCGTGCGAGGATCTGTCCAGTTCCAGCCGTATATCAAGTCCCTGTATGAAGGAAGCCCGGAAGCTGATATGTTTAGGGCCGGGGCTGGTATAGTCTTGTTCATCCAAGTGGTGTTCTCGTTTCTCAGTCCGTAAAAGCCATACTCTTGGACATCTGACAAAAGGGAACAAATCAGCGCCACAAGGTCTTGCGAATTGTTGACATTTCTTGTTATGACCGGGGACGTGTACACGTACAGTTTGAAACGTTCCGATGTAACGAACATCTCTGGGTTTTTGGCGTAGACTCGTCAAAGTTCCACCAGGAACTAGCGTAGTCAGAGTAGCTCTTATCATCCTCTATGCAGCCGAGAAGGCGTGCCCATGAGCTTGCGCTACTGTAAGTGTTGGAACTAGAGTCTTGTCTGAATTTAGCGCTGGCTCAACGTTCACGTGAAGATCCCATGAGAAGAAGCACTCACGACCAGGGAAAGTGAGGGTGGTGTTGCCCTCCATAGCGATCCTCCAGCCATCGTGGATTACATATCCAACAACCTCGAAGCCATCAAAGGGTATCAACATGCCGTCGGAGCCCTGAACATACGCGTCATTGTTCGCTACGTATCCCGTCATTGCACTGCCCAGGGTAGGGAAGCATAGGATGAAGATGGTGACCAAGACCATGATCACCATCATCAATTTGGATCTCAGCCCTCGTGAACGAGCAAAGTCTCGTATCATGTGCCACGTTGACCAGAAGTTTGGTTGGTCTTGGAGGAATATGTTGCGGAAAAAGTCGTACGTCACGGGCTTAACTTGTATCGAGGTCGTCGTGTAGTCGGCAAAAACTCTCCAAGTGATCCAGGTCAGCAGAGCCTGCCCTCCTCGACCGAAGATCTGCGAGTGGCTGGTCAGTCGACGAGAAAAGGTACATTCATTTTGAGTTATCCGTCATCTTACCACATCCCAAGCGACGTCAATGACTTTGGCATCCGCAAAGGAAAATCTGCCCCATGCCAGGGTGATCTGAAAGAATCCAGAGGAAGACCAAAGGTTATACTGGTTCATTTCCACGTCGAAACTGCCGTCCGGTTTGCAGGCCGAGTCACCATATAGCTCTGCGTTGCTGATGAACGCCAGCACGGTGCAGAGTCCTCCGATCCAAGCCAGAGCCAATATCCACGCTAGGACCGCGTACCAGTGGACAGCTCGGATGTCTCTAAACGCAGCAACCAAGGCCTCCTTCCACTGCCTGCGATTCCATAGTCGCAGGCGAAAATCTTCCCAAGCGGTCAGAGACGCGTTCTTCCATTGCCTCCTGTCCCACAACCGCTGCCGAAACTTGGTCAACTTGAATTGCGTGGCTTCCTTGAGTGGCTTTCTGTCTTCGACGAGCAGCGGGGCGAATGATCTCGATGTTGATGAGGCATCTTCTCCAGTCTCTTTTGGCGAGTCCATGGTCATTGACTTTCTTATGGTTCAGTCTAGAGCAACATATGCGGTCGTGGCTTGGTCCAGTGCTCAAGGCATTGCGTACAGATGACCAAGAATCACTGGATTGCTCGTTCGATAATTGGAATTCTACAAATGTGGCGGCATTGGGTTTATCAGAGATGTCACATCCGGTCAGCCTGCATCACGCCGTGCAGCCTGATGGAGTGTGACAGGGGTTGAGGTCGGCCGCCAGCCTGCCTCGCTGTCAGCATGATTGATGTCATTTCGGCTGCTTCGAACACCGTTGCAGTAGCTGGATGACTGCAGAAGAGACATTCCTGTACAAGCGCGTAGTACTGATGCCAGGGGAGGTGCAGCTAGACGCGCCGCGCAAATGGCGTTCTCATGTTGAGTCGTCAAGCACCGAGGGAAGTTGTCGATCTCGAAGGTTCAACCACTCAGCCGCTGTGTTACTGCCCTGGATGGCCTCCATCGCGTCCCAGAGTCCGAAATTTGCTGCCAGCTTGCCAGGTCCAGTATCATTCAGCCCTGGGGGCGTGCGTTTTGGGACTTTGGTATGCGGCACAGCGCCACCACCAAGTGCCACCACTTTCGGGACGGGAGTGGACATTGTACTATGACGCCACTGTCTATACGTGTAAGACACTTCGATGCTATTCATATTGAAAGATCTGGTTTGAGAGCCTTCAATTGAGACCGTTGTATCGAAAATGACGAACATAGATCCGTACATGTACAGGTAGTGTGAGTAGGTATCTGAGACCAGAGTCCGCGTAAGGTCGCTTCATGTTAGTTGCTTACCGGGCCTCTTCGGAAGAGAAGCTTATTTCCGGGAGCGCTGGACCAGCACTGCAATCGTTGGGGGTACATGCCATGGTGCGATCCATAAGCGATCGCCGTTCCAGCACTTGTAGGATTTCAATCCTGGTCCCATTGCACGCAGGCAGCAACTCAATTTCAGGAGAGAAAGCTGGAAATAGCATCAACATTGCGCAGATTGATTGGTATTGACACGGGGACCAAGGGAAAGCCAACTGATGGAGCCAGACTTTTCTTCTTCTGACTCCCTTTAGAATGAACTTGCTTCTAATGCAGTTGTTGCATCAGTCCAGCCAGGCTTGGCCGACTTGAACGCACGGCCGCAGTGGTCCCAGCAACGATTTTGATGGATGAAGAAGAGAAAGTAATCAACAGGAAATGCGAACAGTCCACGCAGGCAGTTGAGTGTCTGGTTTTATCGACAAGCCCGGCCGTCTTGTTGAAGTTTTCATGTCTTGCGACTCTTCTCTTCGATGGCTTGAGCACTATGACCAAGTCAATCAGCAGCGTCCACACAACCTCACAGAATGACAGCGTCAGAGAGATTCTCCAAGTCATCGGACAAGAGGCGCCTGAATTATTCATCCGACATTGACCTGCCGCGTGTGCTTCTCGTGTTCTACTACCGTGAAGATATACTTGAAGCGCCCGAAACGGTTACTCGGCAAGCCAATTTTTGTTCCAGCACTGAGAAACCGACGCCAGACATTCGGAGACCCCACGTGGCTTCTTACCTTAATCCATTGAAGCTTAGACTGCTCGTCCCACTCGATTACCAACCTGATGGATCGAGATGACACTCGTTGATAGCACAAGCTAGGACATTTCAAAGTCCCCGGTTGCCGTGCCGCACTGATTCTCCTTGGACCTTGACGGACAGGCTTGACAGAGAAACCCGCCATCTTTGTGAACTATTTGCTGCGGCCACCGTTCGTGGCGTGCGCAAAATCGCTACTCAGGGGTTTTGCGGCTGAGAGGCTTAGCCGCCACATATCGTTGTGCAACCAACCAAACGTTGATCTGATCGGCCGGCGCCTTTGACAACCCACGCGATGTTGAGCCACAGTACCGACTATTTGGTTAGGTTCCGGCCGCTAACGAAATAAGGGGACTAGTGCTCGCGGCAACAACGAAAGACGATACCCTTTCCTGAATCACTGAAGAACTTCCCCCTGGCTACTGCATGAGATGGTGTCTCTTGTCGTTCGATTGAGCCTCGCCTGGAACTTAGAAGCCTCGCTTAGACCAGAACGAGATGGTCCCCCGATGCGGCCGTCAACGTCGACTTATCGCCGTGTTAGACGATGGTCTTTTGCCAAGGCCAGTCTGACTCGAAATTTCGGCAGGTTGAAGGATGGGAATTCTTCGTCAAAGGCGAATTGCCATATAATCCAGAGATCGTCGTCCTCAGCTTCCGGATTCGACTCTTGTCCTTCAACCAACTCCTCTCTGCCATTCACTCTTTCATGGCTTGAGTTGCTTCTGTTTCTGTCTCTTGTCACTCTTTGGATTATCACCAGCTATACCTAGCTGACCACACTCGTTCCTCTTTCAGGATTAGTTTCATCTCTACAGTCTTTTGATCTAAATTATCCCTCACACTCGTTTCATCATGAAGTGGTCTCTTGCCCTTCCCCTGCTTGGGTTATCCGGTGCCCTCGCACACCCAGGCCAGCGCAATTACCTCAACCGGAGGAACGAGACTTTTGTCTCGGGCCAGTCTGGCAACTCTCTTACCCGGACTGCATCTGTGTCTGTGCCCCTCAGCACCGGTGTGACTTTCCACCCTCCGGCCAACTCAACCCGCACACTCACGTTGGCCACCGGCACGGCATCTGCCTCTGGTGATGTTGTTGCCGCAACGGCCGCTTCCTCCAGCACGGAGTACGAGTTTCCGACCTCGAAGCTCGGCCCCATCGCGACTTTGAAGCCTGCCATCCCAGACAACCACGATCTCAACGATGTCAACAACCTCACTCCTCAGCCTAGCGGCGCTGGTGCTCCGATCCACTACGCGCAAGATGCCGGCTCGAATGGAGGTGGCATCTATGCTGTTGCTACCCCCAAGTGGACTGCTCCGTCCATCGTTCTCGACCACTCTGGTCTCGTCACCGACGTCAAGCTGTCGGGCCAAGGCAACTTGGTCATGACCTTTGGTGACAAGAATGCTTTTGACCACAGCGCGTCCAACTGGAAGGCAGACAACATCATCTTCGTCACTTACACGCCTGAGTGCGGTGACTACGATCTGGGCCAGAGATGCTACTTCCAGGCCAACTCTGTTACCTTTGACCGCAACTCCCTCTCCGCCACTGCTGCAGGACAGGCTAAGGATATTGGCGATGTCACCAAGGATATCAATGTTGTGTGGGGAAACTATGGCAGCCAGAACGTCAACTACGGCAACCCTGCAGCTACCGCTGAGCCCACCGCGACTGAGACTGACGTGACTCCGGCGTACTCCGTTGCTCCTACCATGACGGCTGCTTGTGTAGCTCCCGTGGATGAGAAGTACGGTCTCCCAACGGCGTGCTTGGGACCCTACTTCGACGATGACCTCGATACAGAGCTCGGCTATTTCGAGTCTGATGTCTTCAGCTTCAACGAGACCCTTTCTGAGGTTGACATTGATGGCGAGCTGACAGACTCGACCCTCGCCAGACGTATTACCGTTTTCCAGGACCTCGGTAACGGCTTCAAGAAGATCGGCCCGGCGATTAAGAGCGGCGTCGTCAACCTCGGCAACAAGATCGAGACCGGAGCCAAGGCCGCTAAGAACAACGTCGTCAAGACGGGCGAAAAGGTTGTCAAGGTTGGCGCCAAGGTCGTCGAGGTCGCAAAGACCGTCGTTGAAGTCGGCGGCAACATCCTCGCGGGCAAACCCAACCGCTTCGAGAAGGACTTTGACAAGCTCCTCCTCCCCTGGCCTGCCAAGGAGTGCAAGGAGGCCGAGAACGACAAGGACAAGAAGGAGAAGCTCAAGAATGCGTGCAAGCCTAAGAAGCAGGATAAGGACAAGGATAGCGAGGCCAAGGCCGTCAAGACCCCTTGGGGTGACGATGCTCTCCTGCTCAAGTCGTTTGGCACCATTCCCTCGCCCAAGGACCTGCGCCCCAAGGGATCCAAGAAGCAGACTACCGTCACCAAGGGTAACTTCATCAACCTCTACTGCGTCAAATGTGGTCTCTCCGGATCCCTCAAGACTAAGGGCAACATCACCATCGAGAACATCAAGGGCATCACCGACGGCTACATCGAGAGCGACATCGATATCTCAGTCGGTCTCGGCATCGGTATCTACGCTCAGTACTACCAGGAGCACAAGTTCCGCAACAACCTGTACGATATCCCCCTCTCGCCCTTCACCCTTGGCTTCGTCACTGTCGGTCCCATGCTTTCCATCGGTACCGAGGTGAAGTTCAGTCTCAACATGACCGGCACCGCCGTTGCTCGCGCCGACGTCAGCATCGCCCGTGCGAAGTTTGTCTACGACTGGAAGAAGGGCGGCTCCAAGTCCATTGGCTTTAAGCCCGAGTTTAAGCCCAGCTTCGAGGCCGAAGGCCAGGTTGAGATCGCCGCCCAGTTTGGCATCCCCGTCGGCCTCGAATTTGGCGTCACTACCTTCAGCGGATGCACCAGGTGCAAGGGCTCCATTGGGATCGAGACCATGCCATCCATCAAGGCCGCTGCAGCCATTGCTGTCCAAGCCAAGTGGAATAACGGCACCGACGGTATCGAGGCTGGACTGAAGCCACTCAACAACTGCAGTGGCATCAGCACTACACTCAGTGTTCGCAATGATGTCACGGCCAAGTTCAAGGGCTTCGGGCTCCTCGACAAGGACTGGCCCGTCCACGAGACCAAGGACTACATCATTGCCTCGTACTGCATAGGGTAAGTGAAGATGTTCCCTGGAACCCTTGAGACACCTGAATCAAGTGCCATGCTAACAACTCAACAGCAACAAGACGGATGGTACGAGCAAGGGCAAGCTTGGCCTCCACGATGACAAGCGCTCCCTGCCTTCCACTCCCTACAACAAATATGAGTACCGTCGCGACGCGAATAACGTCTCCGTCCCCACAAACTCCACCACCAACTCGACCCAGCTTGCCGACCTGACCAAGTACGTCGTCGAGGAGATTGAGTACCTCGGCTACAACGGCACCGAACTCGCCGCCATTCCCTACGATCTCGATGAGGCGGCCTTTGACGGATACTGGTTCAGCACCCTCGCCCTCGAGAGCGACAACAGCTACGTTCTCGCCGCCTGCAGCGACGGCAACGTCTACCTCCAGAAGAACACGGCCCAGAACGACCTCCCCTACTACATCACCTGCAACACCCTCTGGGCCGGCTACGGAGATGCCGCCCTCTCCACGCCCACCGGCGAGGTGCTGCACTACTACAACAACACCATGGACAAGATCGGCGTCAGCCGCCTTCGCGCCGGAGATGAGGCCAACCTCCCCGGAACCTCGGTCTATGTGTAAGTCCACCCAGTCACGAGTTTCAATCCGTAAAGTTCGGCCTTGCTAACGCGTATCCTAGCGCGCTCACCCCCTTCTACTATGACGACAACGATAGCACCGCCAGCATCCTCGCCGCCATCGACGACGAAGACAACATCTTCTTCCCCGCCGTCTGCACCTACAAGGGCGACCAGACGGCCAAGATCTATCTCGTCGGCGAAGACGTCGACGCCGGCCTCGAGATGCTCAAGTCCCCGGACCTCACCTACACCGTCACCAACGGCGAGGTTGACGAGTGCTACCTCCTCTTCCTCGGCATTACCAACCGTGAGCTCGGCCAGTGGGCCGACTACGGCGACGATGTCTCGGACGCTTACGAGAGCGACCCGCTCGACGTCGAGTTCGATGACACGCTCTTTGACACCGATGGAGATTTATTGTTGCCTTCTGATGAGCTGTTTGCTTACCAGGATGATGTCAACTACGACGTCTTTGATGAGTCGCTGGATGACATTACTTGGGAGTAAGGAGTTGACGCATGTCACTCTGCACTTGTCTCTGACATAGGTGAAGTCACGCGTTGTTCTTCATCAAAGCAAAGTGGAAAAAAAAAATAGAAACACTACTTTAACTTAATACATAATAGAGATCATTTTGATTTTGATTGAAGGAGATCATTTCTCCAAGCGACGATGTGTCTCATACTTTGTAGTCAATGGGGCCAAAAACATCATGATGAAGGACTTTCATCGTTCCGTCCAAGTGACGTCTCATCCCTGAGGATCACGAAATGAGCCTTCTTTGGGCAAGTTTCGGGCCATACCTAGACAATACAAAGACTGAGCGTTACCATGCCCGACTGCCTTTGTGAGAAAGAGTCTTTCCATCATGAGCAATGATCTCAGACAGAGCTAGAGGCTGAGTTCCGACAAGACTCAAGTTTCATGCTGATTGAACAAGGCATTGTTCTGACTTTGATGCGTTTCACGTCTTATGCCAACAGCATGCCAACAAAACACTTAGTTCCGCGCGGCCACTTGGGCATCGTTCTTCTTTCTGAGGCATGGGTGCAACAGAATAATCTCTCTTTGACCACTGAGGACTTTCCAGACAAAGATATGCAAACAAGCAATACAAGGACAGGAATCGATGTCGACAATGCCTTGTGTTGGCATTCATTCTGGCTACTGGCTATATCTTCAGTCAAAGTCGAATCCAACGTGTCTTACTCTGTAGCAATACCTATCAGAATCAAAAAGTAGACACTGAACTGGAAAAGAATCATCATGGATAGCTCAAGCGAAGATCACTCTCATGACGAGCACCACTCCTTTAGTGAGTACATCGGCAGTGAAGATCAGTCCTCCAGTGAGAACCACTCCATCGACGACCATCATTCCGCCGAGGAGAACCAGCCTATCAATGACGACCATCCTATCGAAGAAGGCCGCCCTGCGGAGGAAACACCCAGTGAGTCCCAGGCCCAAAGACACTCCTTCTTCCAAAGGCCAGCAGACATCTTATTCGGACCATTTATAAATGCCGTCTCGAACCACGAGATCCCCCTCTGGGACACTCTGCCACAACTCCCGCGGCAACTCTCGCGGCCACTCCCACCACTTCCTCCCTCCGACACCGAATCGGGCCCCACGACAAATGTGGAAGTCCTACTTGAAGAGCTGCTAGCGCAAGAATCTATACAAGACGTCGAGGACCTCTGCGAAGAGAATCCTGCACTCCGCAAGGTCTTCAAAGACAATATGATACAGGTCCTCCGGAAACATATCGCCCCGGAAGCCTGGTCCGATGCCATCTGCTGCGTCGATCGCCGCCTGAAACACCCTGGCAAGACAGCCAGAAGCGCCTTTGACGAAGACTATGCCAACGACACCGTGGCGGACTGGCCTCCGCCCCCAGAAGGCATCGTTGGATCCATCTCTGGCAGAGCCAGACGCACCATCTCCTATTACCTCGAAGCATTCGGAAGCGCCGGGCCCCAAATGAGTAAGTCTCCATGTACACAACGCGGACAGTGGGACCTGACCGGTCTCTGCCAGCTCGTCAAGATCATCGACCAGCTGCTAGACAGGGTCTCACAGGCTCAAAAAGTCTACGACTCCTTTGAAGAGTGGGAAGAAAGCTGGCAGGACCGCCGCCCAGACGAACTCCCCGACGAGCGATGGGGCCCCGATATCGCGACTCTCAAGCCCAAATTCTCCGCGCTGTCCAGAGACGACGGCACCGAGAACCCCAACAACATGATCTACGCCTTTGAACGGCACACTGCCCACGACGAAGAACGAGGGCCCATATCGGAGGGCGTCCTGATGACCAAGACGAACCGCGCAAAGCTCCAGCGCGCCTTCTTCCGGCTCGAGTTCATCCGGCGAGCGTACTACCAACAGCCGTTCTACCCCCGCGGCGCAGAATGGCAATCACGCAACGATACAATGGTGGAAGGCGTGGTCCGCGGCCCCGCGGGCGAAACCTACAAAGCCCGCCTCGCGCGCGCCGAGGAAATCTTCAAGCGCTGGGACAGCAAGGACGAGTTCGTCGAGGTCATTTGCGCCTTCAAAGCCACTCTGAACGAGTACGCCATCCCCGTGAGCGATCTCCTCCAAGCCTTCAGTGATACCATCGAACAGTACCTCGAGACGGACGAGGTCCGCCGTGCCGAAGCGGCGTGTAGGAAGAGGCACCAAGAGACCGTCTGGAACGGCGATGCCGTCGGCCTCCAGTGGGAATGGAACCCCTACGACCTTCGCCAACCATTCCTCCCCGCGTGGGACATCCCGCACTCGGACGACTTCTTCACCCTCCGTGCGCAGCTTCTCGACGACCGCGCCGACCTGGGCAGGCAGATGGACGAGTGTCTCCCCGCGCCCCTCGCGCGCGCCGAGTTCGACGCGTGGCACGCCACGATATATCGTTCTGAGCGCATTCGCTTCGCACCGCGGAACAAGCGTGAGAGGGAGAATCACTCGAAGCGGAAGCCTGCGATAGAAGCGCAGCCCCTGCACGCCATGTCGCGGTTCCTGACCATCATGTGCAGCCTGCCTTTGTCATTCATGGGAGAGTTCCTGGTTATGGAGTCGCACAAGCAGGCCCGCTTCCTCAAGTCTGCGTACTGGGCTGTCGCCCGCGTCAGGGCCTCGAGGTGTCCGTCGTTCCTGTCTGGCGAGATGCGCGCCTGGTGCAGTAACCCCAACGTCGTGTACGACAAAGACGGCCACCCGGTTCTGGGACCGCACCCCCGACTACTCCCCGAGATGTCCGTTCGCGCCGTCTCCATGGCCTGCGTGTCCAACACATACGAGTTCATTGAGAACGATTGCGTCGGTTGGCGTTTGCCCTCACACCCGGAGTCACAAGGCGGCTGGTGGAAGTGGAAGTGGGACGACGACCGCCTTCCAGCCAAAGCCTGGGACGACCTTCACTGGCAGATGTCATTCTTTTCGACCAAGATCAACAACGTCTTCCGCATGGACGACGTCAAGTGGGCGCAGGTCTGGCGCTCCAGTCGCGAGTTTGAGCGGCAGGTCTGGACGGGCCGGATGATGGACCGGGAGGTGTGGGAAGGGTACGGGGACCCCGGCCGCGTGGATGGGAAAGACTGCTATTGTCGCTGGGGGTCCGGTGGATGCGGTATCTGTGTGCCGCTGCCCGAGGTTGAGTTGCCCGAGTGGGAGCTGATGACGCCGGCTGAGGTGCTGGAGGAATCTCATGTTTCGCAGTTTATGCGGCAGCCTTGGAGCAAGCTCCCCGATCTACAGCCAGCTGTGAAGGAGGTTTTAGGGAGAGGCGTTCATCGTGTCGAATATGAGGAGGCTACTTAGTTCAGTGTGAGAGTCTGTGAATGGGCATATGAGAAACTTCACGTCATGTTTTGGTATGCTTGATAAAGTCCAGTTTGAGTGAAAAATGTGTAGGTTTTTGAAATGAAATGCCTATGATGCTGGTGCTAATTGTTCTGCTTTTTAAAAGATCTCTCTGTCGTCGTACGCCCTGACGCTCTCCAAGTAGTTCTTGACCTGGTTATAATCCTTGCACACTGGAGACTTTGTTAGCTTTTGATTGCTTTGCTTGATCTGAATTTAGATGAGTGGTGACTTACCATGCTTCGAGTCCCATCCGTCAGAGCCACCGTTGTGATCCGGGAAGGTCGTCTCCAGACCCTCGAGGGCCATATCGGCGCTGCACATGATGGTCTGTCTGAGGTAGGAGAAGCAGTGAATCATGTGCCAGTGGTGGTCGTCGGGGATCTCGTGGCCGGACTTGATACCGGAGTAGGTCTGGACGACAGCGAACTGGATGGGATGTTAGTAACCATTCACAAGAAGAGGGTAGGTCTAGATGAGAGCGCGTACCAAGCAGTGCAGCTGGTGGGTGATGGAGGTGGTGAAAACGGTCTTCTCGGGCCAGACGATAGGGGTGGGCAGGTCGTGGTACTTGTGCGTGTCATTCACCCACTGGAAGCCCATGCCGTCTGAGATATTCGTGTCAGCGATCGCGATCCTCTCATCATTCTGAAGACTGAGTTACTCACAAGGCATCAACTCGTTCCAGTTGTTCAACGTCTCGTCGGTGAAGAACTTTGACGTATCGTTGGGCGCGTACTTGCCCTCGTAATCCGGCGTGAACGTCTTGATCTGTTGCGAGACTATAATTCATCAAGTCAGCAACCTCGGGTCCCTCACTCGTCCCTTCATGGTCTTCTCGGCGAAAGTGGTAAACTCACAATGACCGCTAACACCAGTCAAATCCCCACCAAAGTCCCACGTATTCACCGGCGGCTTCTGCATCTGCTCCCTCACCAACAGGCCCAGGATCACAACCAGCAATATCGTATCGACAAACCACCGCGACGAGTTGAGCATCGCCAGGCACCTGTTCTTCCTCCTCGCCGGCTGGTCGTGGTAGTCCTTGGCCATGCAGCGGCGGCACGCCTTGTCGTCGGTGCCGAGGAGGGATTCCTCGACCTCGGTGCTGCTCCGGTCATCGTGGTCTTCGAACTTGATGTTGGCGTACTTTGCGTCCGACATGTCCATCTTGGGCGAGTTGTCTTTGTTTCCTCGAATGAGTGTCTTTGTTGCGTATACTGAAATAGACAAAGCGGATCAACCGACGGCAGCCAAGTCAATGAAAGAGAGAATTATCGAATCGAATTAGAAAGACTGAAGTCCTGCAAAAAGCACTGGATACTAGAGACAATGCGCCAGCGCCAAGGAGAGAAGAAGACGTAAGAAGAGGAGGCAAAACCAAAAAGAGGTGCGAAGGCTCTTCCATGCGGGCCATATCCTTCTTTTGTTCAATCTTGCCCCCATTGACTGCCCCTGTTTCTCCTTCGTCCTCGTCTACAATAACCGCCCTCGATTCGTTACGCCGTCCTGTTTTCGGTTCCCCGTCGTCTCATGTCCAGATACCACCAGAGTCTGAGGCTGAAGTTTCAGGACAGGGGTCGTCGATGTTCCCCCAACAAGCCCCAGACTCTCTCTTCAGTCCTAATTGTTAATTGTTAGTGCATCTTTTTCAGCACAATAGAGTCAGAAATAGTGAGAACAGCGTGTGACTAAGCAGTACAACGCCCGTTTCAGCGATCCTAAAGCCGCCAAGCGGCCCCCGTAGTTCACACATTATTCGAGTCCCCCTCCCCGGACGGAGGCCCTGCAGTGTTTCCAGTCGCGTTTTGAATTCCGTCCAAAGTCACATTCTGAGGCGCGCCATTCGTCGATCCTTCGTCTCTAGTTGCCGTCTTATCCCTCCCCTTGGTTCTCTGCCCTTTTCTTGCTTGTAGGTAGGACGAAAGTTGCTTCGCTTTCTGCTGCTGGATTGCATTCTCTGTGGTGGGTGATGCAATGTAAACCCAATTGATTAATAGATCCTCTCAGCCGCTTGAAATAGCCTCTTCTTCTGCATCTACTTTCCGTCTTCCCGCCCCGATACCTTATTGTTGCATGAACCTATCTCATGTTTAAGAAAGAAATGGTTTAAGTGACAGTTGCTTATAGGATATTTAGTTTAGCATTCCAATTCTGTGATGTTGTAAATTCGTAGTGCTTCCCGGAGATGATCTACACTGAGTATGATCAAGCTAATTGCCAAGCCGCACATCATATCGAGATGCAAGTCGAAGCGATACTCTGCCAAGCCATATCCCTTTAGATTCGCGCATCGGCATTCGATAACTCCAGAAAATCAAAAAAACAGCTCAGTCAAAGGGATATAACAAGGCGTAGATTGAATGCCTTTGAAGCTGATTCTCCAACTTCCTTGCTCATTTCGCATCTCGTATCTGCCAAGGACCCACAGTTGGGAGGCAAATCTTCACTGCGATTTTAACCTATCCCGAGTGAAGAGATGTAGAGTTGCCATCTTATGGAAGGTCGGAATGCAGTGCAAAACCTATTGTTTCGTTGGGTCTCTACTCCGTTGTTCTGAATGGTCACTTCAAGGCGTCTCAAACTGGGGGATTCACTGCGATTTCAACCCATCCAAAGGGAAGCGACGTAGCCTTGCCATCCAACGAAAGGGCAAAAGTCAGCACCCGAGGACGCTTTAGCAGCGAAACTGTCCGGTTGGCTACAGTCACGCCTTCGCTATTTGCGCGCTGCACCTCAAGACCACCGGCCAAGGTTCACACCCTACAACTACAAGGAAGTCAATTCTTTGACGCTTTGGCCTATCCTAAAGCAAGCCTCATCTCATCACACGATGAAAAATTCAACCTCTGAAGCCAAGAGCTACTCAGCAAAGTGGTCAACATCCTAACCTCACGACCGAGTCGTGGTTGCGCCCAATTCAGGACAGGACACCGCGGTTTCCAGACACTGCGAGCTATAGGCCATGCCATGATGGAAGCCTGTGCTGCGGCATAGTCCTATTTGTTGATGTGACATACTACATACTGTGTATGCATATGCAATCTGGAATGAGTCTTGCCTTGGGGGTTTCACTGCGTTTCTTACCCCTCCCAAGGGCTTCCTTAGGGGAGTTGACGTTACATGTTGGTGCGAAATATGAGTGATCCTCATCCTTCCTGGGGCAGATCTCAGTCTCTCACTGCATTTTTAACCCATCCTGAGGATATCCTGAGGGGAGAGGTGCGGAGATGACCCCGGCAAATAAAGAGCGTGTTCACCCAACCAAGAGTAGATAAAGTCTCAGCAGGTCTTTAAATAGAGAATGTGGGCGATTGGTCGAAGTACGCGATCCTTCGTCTGCACTGCATTCTTAATCCATCTCGAGATGGCCACATCCCTACTTTAGACACCAGTCGCCTCACTAATCTCAGTCTGAGATACCGGTTGTAGCTTATCTTGCTTTACCTCACTCTGCCGTGGCTCCCCGGAAAGTGGAGAATCTCATCCGGGGACGGAAGCGGGATAAAAGTGGATACACACGGAAGCGTCCGTGTCGGCCTGCCTTCAATAGCTGCAAGCCGAAAACAGTCAACATTCTCCCCTCCATCGGCAACAAAAACTACCAGCGCAGCCGTAATTCGGAGGTGATGCCAAAAAGCGGCGGGTAGCAAGAATACAACGCTCAATGCCGGATGCAATCGCATCCAGACCCGCTGGCTGCTTCCTACCCCATTGGTCTTGCTGGAGAGCAATAACCTCGGTTTCGGTTTTGCAACGCTGAGAAGGGGGGTTCCAAACAAACCGCGTCTTACATTCATTTACATCACCAAATCTCAGGAAAACAAAGTATTCAGATATCGCGGCGCCATGCGGCTCACGCTATGTATATTGACACAAAGGGTAAGAGACTCTATCTAGTCTTCTTCTCACATCCATGCAGATACTATGTACGTCATGCCGTCATTCAGATCGTAACAGTCTCCTCCCATCGGCTCCAGCCGAGGCCAAAGGCCAAAAAACCACCGCCGAAAAAGGGGGTAAATAGAAATTAAGTTGTAAAAAAAAGGTTCCTCACTCCACAATGGAGAAAGGGGGTATCAAGTAGTCTTAACAGGGTTGTATCCTCTAAACATTTCGCAAGGAAGATAGTTATTTTCGATAAAGGGCGTAGCGGCCTGGAAGCCAGCCACGTCGGAGAACGAAGCGTCGGTTTGGAATGGTCCAAGATTCGACTTGAGCGTCCCGCGTACGGGAACAGGCTCAAAGGCTCCGGTGGTGACGGAGGTGTTGAAGAGGCGGATCTGCTGATCGCAGGTCGAGCCGTTGGCGAAGATGGGCTGGTTGATGATGGTGTCGAACATGGCCAGCGTGTAAGGCGGGGCCTTGCCACCGCATGATGACTTCTTCATCTCGAGGGACATGTACTTGTCACCGGCGGTACCGTTGAATGAAGTGCCGCCTCCCGCGGTAGCCGAGTATGCATTGCATTCGGGGGCAAAGGTGGCGGCGTGGACTTCGGTGCCGTACGCTTGGGAGCCGGTGACGGCAGCGGGGTTGGAGGCCGAAATCAATTGCTCAGGAGCCCATCGGAACGACGATTTGCCGTCGCCTAGGAGGTCCAGGAAGGGGAACTCAAAGCCAGATTTCTGTTTCCCAATGTTAGTAAAGTTTCTCCAGGTGAAGACGTGCTGCAAGCAGGACTTACACTAAAGTCGGGGATTCCAAAGTCCTGAAAGCGAATATCGTGATCGTGACCAGCCTGGACGACAACGGGATACATGTCGGCGGGGAAGTTCGGCATGAGAGCCCGGTATGCGCCCTCGAGAATCCCATACTGCTGCGGAATGATTTGGCGCGCAGTCGTCATGGGAATCGGGATGATGACCATGGTGACGTTCAGGAGACCGGTGGCGTTATTCGGGTACTGACTGAAGATGGGGTTCGGCTGGTCGACATTTGTGCAAGTGAGCGGAGTAGCCTGGGCGGCAGTTGTCTGCATCTGGATCCCAAAGATGACCAACAAGACCGCGATGGACGCCTGAACGAGGTAGTTGGAGAGCGGCATGTTGAGCCAAGAAGATAGATTATCGCGTGAGGGAAGAGAGATCTTCTTCAGGTCTGGGCAAGGCCAGAGGGAAGGGAGGATGGTGACCATCTTTTAAGAGCTCCGAGGGTGTAGAGCTGCAAAAAGGAAGGAAGAATGCCAGTGAAACATCAGTGGCTTTTTGAGCTCTGATCCTGGCGGTCGATCCGGAGGTTTTCTTCTTTTGAAGGTTTACCGGTACGGATACCACGCAGCCCTTTTTCAAGACCGGGAGCCGCGACGATCAGTGATGGACATTCGAGTTCCCGGCGGCACTGGGCGGAGTTCGTGGGGGCGTGCTGATGTGACGACGATCCGTCCAGAAGCCGGAGTGAGAAGTTTGAACAGGCAGGGCTCTCCCGAGATGTCTAGGTTGCCTGGAATGGGGCCAGCCGCTGGGATAAGAGCAGCAGCGGGTTGCAGAAAGTGTGATATTGGATAGACGACGGTGTGGGCGGGAGGGAGCTGCATCCAACCTAAGAGACATCTGGGACGACGGCGCATCCCCGCACGGATGAGATGTGTTCATGGTTTAGTCGAGCCAGCAAGCGACGTATCCGTGGTTTTGGGTGTGTGTGTGTTTGGATTGGACGAGAGGGATTCTCGAGGGATGGACCATGGCTCGGAAACGAAGAACCGAGTGATGGAAAGGTGGGCGGATGGGGTGGAGAGCGCACACACAAAGTGCTGCTTCTAAGAAAGGGTAACACGGTGACAGGGCCAGTGCCGGGCCTTGGGAGTTCGGGAGGGAGAGAAGCCAGGCGCTCGGCTGCAGCCACAGCTCGGATGGCTGGAGTTCCGGGCAGCTGGGAATGGCTCCAAAGTCTCCAACGTCCCCAAGAAGGCCAGCGTGATCAGCCACGGACACGGAAGGCCGAGGGACCGGCCGAGGAAGGAATGAAGTTGATTGGAGGGCCGTCTCTACTTTGGGGCAGCCTATTGTTGACCACGCGACATATGCAGCGGATGATCGTTAGCCTGGAAACGGTAGAAGTTATTGATCGTTCGATTCGTTCCACGCAGTCAGCCAGCGGTCTCTTTCTGGAAAAGCCTCATCTTCAGCCAACATCGGCGATGGCGTATGGATTATTGTCTCTGTACATTTGTAGTGGTGCTATGGTGGGTTCGTCGTTCTCCAAATGCCACGGGGATTTTCCAGATCAGATGAAGTGAGAGGATCCGTACGAAGCATCTAGAAGTGACACTTGATGGTGGCCACTGACACGCCGGTACGCTGGCATTCCTTGGTTTGCAAAAGGTTCGAAGTTGGTTGACAGCGCAAAAGTGGCACCCATGACTCGGCGGAGACAGGAAGGGCTCTGGTCCGTTGTTAGAAGGGGACGACTGCGACGGCGGCGTGTGCGGGTTGTCTTGAAGGTTGAGTGAAGATCCGAGTTTCACATCGCCGCCGGCGTCATTGCAGCTAAGAATACGTACTCGCAGCAAGAGGAGAGAACTGCCTCCGTTTCCGACCTGAAAAGTACGTACATTATGAGGTAAGGCACTTTCCGTTATGGAGACAGGAGGCATCAGGGTCTTCTCAGAACGTTGGAACCGGGACCCACTTGATCCGGCCTAGCGCGAGTTTTACCGAGCAGCGCGCTGCAGACTGCGCGTGACCAGGCCAGCCATCACCCTGCCACCTCGGAAAAAGCGCAACATGTTGACCATCCATCTCAACGGTGTTTAATGTAACCCGCCAAACGCAGGTCTTCATAATATGTAAATCTCGGAATAGTTCGTGATACTCTGGGCCGCATAGAGAACTATAGACCCAGACACATCCCCAATATCCCTCAGATAAACAGAATAAACTCAACTTATGCGCGCAACCCGGCCGATCAATGGCGGGCCTACGGAATACCTACCTTACATACTAAGTACCGAAGAAAGCGCGCCTTTGGGGTCCCCTTTTGGGTCTCTTGGGGCGGACACTAACGGCCGGAACTGAGCTTCCCGGCATGGGCTCATCTCCTTTCCTCTCCAGACTCCAATCTCACCGTCAATCAATACCGCGTAAGCTCATCGTGGTCGTGACTGCAATTCTAGCGGTGTGGCCTTTTGCGCGAGGGAAACAAACTCATCGCGATTTACCCAACCTCCCTTCCAAGTTCCGAGACACAAGTCGAAAAGCAGACATTGGTTATCTTTTCCATCTCTGCTAGACCACAGACGCAGACGAACGAAAGCACACACCCCTCCACCCCCGCGCACATCTCATCCCACCTCACCATACCCCTTACGGCCACGATCCCATCCGTATTGCAAGGGCAAAAGTCAAAAAATTCCAACCTACCTTCAACCGGATCTGCTCTCCTCCGAAGGAAAGGGGAAAAACGTTCCACGGTCCACCAGTCACCATCCACCAGTCACCAGTCACGCCCGCCATGGCCTCCGTCGCCGATCAAACACCGGCCTCCACCACCGCCGCCGCCGGTCTGCAAGAAAAGGCCACCGCATCCGGCCCGCTCAAGACGCCCATCGCCCTCCCGCTCCCGGCCTCCTCCACCCCGGCCGTCCCGGCCCTTACCGCAGACCAACAGACCAAATACGACGGCCTCCTCGCCCAAGCCCGCGCCTGGACGGAAGTCAAATGCACCACCGCCGCCCACGTCGCCAAATCGGGTCCCCTGACGGACTCGGAGCGCCAGTGGCTCACGCGCGAGTGCCTCCTCCGCTACCTCCGCGCCACCAAATGGTCCCCCAAGGACGCCGAGAAGCGTCTCCTCGAGACCCTGGCCTGGCGCCGCGAGTACGGCGTCGAGGCCCTCACAGCCGACCACATCTCGCCCGAGAACGAGACGGGCAAGCAAATCATCCTCGGCTTCGATAAGGAGCGCCGCCCCTGCCACTACCTGAACCCGGGCCGCCAAAACACCGACCCCAGCCCGCGCCAGGTCCAGCACCTCGTCTTCATGCTCGAGCGCGTCATCGACATCATGCCCGCCGGCCAGGAGAAGATTGCCCTCCTCATCAACTTCAAGACGTCAAAGAGCCGCGGCAACACGGCGCCCGGCCTCGGACTGGCTCGTGAGGTGCTGCACATTCTCCAGACGCATTACCCCGAGCGTCTGGGCAAGGCCCTCATCATCAATGGTGTGTACATTGACATCTCAGCTCGTTCGCATTTTATTCAGCCCATACTAACACGTGATAGTCCCCTGGATGGTCAACGGCTTCTTCAAGCTCATCACCCCCTTTATTGACCCCATGACCCGGGACAAGCTCAAGTTCAACGAGGACATGCGCCAGTACGTGCCCGAGGAGCAGCTGTGGACCGAATTCAGCGACGGCAAGCTCGAGTTCGAGTACGACCACTCCGTCTACTGGCCCGCTCTCAACGGCATGTGCAAGGAGAAGCATGACGCCCGGACGGCCCGTTGGGCTGCCGGCGGAAAGCAGATTGGTGAGTCGGAAGACTACCTCGGCGGTGCTGTTGAGAAGGGCCTCGGTGCGGAGGCTGCTGCCCCGGCTGCTGATGAAGCTGCTCCGGTCCCGGCTGCGGCCGAGACACCTGCCGAGGCCAAGCCTACCGCATAGAATTCTTGACTTGGCAGATGTTGAGCGGGAAGCGTAGAGGTTGATTTGGATCATTATAGCATTCATAGACTGAGCAAAAGGCGCTCAAACTAATAGCAGGATAGAGGGGCAAAAGGTAGACTTCTGGGTGCTTCACAGAGGCATTGAGACGGATGGAACTCTTCCAATTGTTCCTCCTTATGTAGATCTTCTCACACATATATATATATATTCCCCTTCAGTTTCGTCGTTATATCGTTCGGGATATGACAGATAAAGCTTCCGCGATGTTGCTGTCCCTGCGCGAGCTCTTATCGTTATCGCCGATAAGGCTGCACACCAATCGCGCAACCCAAACTCCAAACCCACAGCTCCCGCCAACCCTGCAGCCTTCCCATCTCCAAACGTCACCCCTTCTCGGCGCAAGCGCAAACACCAAGCTGCTGCTGCACACTAGTCCTCGACCCGTAGTCGCAGCTCCAACTCCTCTTGCAACTAAATGAACCACCTCCTATCGCAGCGCAAACACCGGATAGCACACTAGGGCTCTAGACACAGATCACCATACACGCGACAATGGCGAACCTGCCGACGACGAAGAGCATCCCGGGCAAGGAGACGCCCGGCCTGCGATACCCCTCCAACGGCAAGACAATCTACCACCGGCCCCTGAACCGCACAAAGACGGCCGAGCTGAGCCAGTCCAGCTTTGCCTACCTCTTTAGCGAAATGGTCTCTTACGCCCAGCGCAACGTAAAGGACATTTCCGAGCTCGAACAACGGTACACTTCCGCTCTCTCTGTTTTCCCCTTCTGTTGTCCAAGATCCAAAGCATCCACTAACTTTTGACCACTTCCAGACTAAACGTTCAAGGCCACTCAATAGGCCTCAAACTCCTCGACCTCCTCCTCTTCCGCGAACCACCGCGCACCCAGACCCGGCCCCTCACAATCATCACCCTCCTCCACTTCATCAAGCAGTCCTGCTGGCAGCACCTCTTCGGTCGGCAAGCCGACCGCCTCGAAAAGTCCGCCGACCCGGCCAAGCCGGACGAGTACATGATTATCGACAACGAGCCCCTCGTTAACGCCTACATCTCCGTGCCGCGCGAAATGTCCCAGCTCAACTGCGCCGCCTACGTCGCGGGCATCGTCGAGGGGATCTGTGATGGGGCGGGCTTCCCTGCGAGGGTGAGCGCGCATAACATCGCCGCAAAGGACGAGCACGAGATGTGGCCTGGCAAGACGGTGTTTTTGGTAAAGTTTAGGCCCGAGGTGTTGGAGAGGGAGGGGTATCTTGGGAAGAGCTGAGCTGAGCTCCTTGGGATGGAGGGTAATCGTGGGACGAGGAGAGGGCGGAGGTATTGATTCTTGGCGTTGACGGGAAGAGCATGGGCGGCGTTTGGGCGATGGGATATCTTTTCTGGTGCCTTGTGAATAGTTGCTCGTGGGTCCATGACATTTGAAGTGGAACTGTAGGAAGACGCCATGGCACAACAGTCTTGAAGCCCAAAAAGACATTATAGTATCATTCCATTGTCGATAAGGTCACAGAAATTGCGATCCATAAACTCCATGGCAATCAGCAGTTGTTGTCTCTTGCCATAGGTTGAAGTTGCGTGGCACCCCAAACAAACCCACGATGCCGTCCTAGACACGCCCTGCGTCCTCAAAGTCAATACCCGGGTATCCCATAACGCCTCCTGTCACCGGTTTTCCAGAGTCCGTCTCTCCCTCCTTCAAAGCCATCCCTCCACCTCACCGGGGCAACCTCTTCCCACCACCACTCCCACCCGCAGCACTCCCCCCAGCCCCAGCCTGCCCCTTCTCCCACCCACCAGCCGGCGGCGGCCCCCGATTCATCAACCCCGACAATCCCAAATCCTTCCACGCCGCCTCCCGCGACCGCTGCGTCGCCTTGGTGATCCCAAACGCCGCGTGCTGGTCCGGCACCACGTCGTCCTCGTCCTCCGGGTTGATCGGCTGGTGCTGCGGCGGCACGTAGACCTCGTCGTCCGGCAGCTTCTCCTTGCAGAAGTCCTCAAAGAGATCGGCGTCGCGCGCGCGGTGCATGTGCACGTACGTGTGGCTGGCGTCCTTGTTCTGGTCCGGGACACGCAGGTTGTCAGTACGATGATGTCTAGGGTGGGATGTGTGCGCGAGGGTGAAGAGGGACGTACCAGACCCATGACTGCGTTTTCGAGTAATATTCTCAGCTTTTCTTTTCGCAGCGTCAACGATTTAGTTTGGGTAGAGTGGTGGCTTCAGGTTTCGTAATGTAGAATGCAGGTCGTGCTTGTGGTGTTGGGTGTTGGATCAGTGTTGATGTGATGATGGATCTCAAGCTCCCCACCATTCGGCAGATCCCGAGCAGGGATCACCTTGCACTAGGTACTGCAGCCCTCTGCGAGAGGATCCACTGAACCCTGCATCACTGAACATCCATCGCCGACTTCACCAACATTTGGCTACCAAACGCCCAGAATGACCTTCTCTACGACCATACGTATTGGCCTAACATTGGATAGGTTTCTTAGTTGATGCTGATGTCAATTGTAAGGGGCAGATGATGAGGAAAGAAGCCCCGTCAACAGGGCGCCATGTTCGTCTTCTCGATGCGATGCCTTAATTTTATTGTTAAGCAATGCTACAAGTGTTTAGGTAGCTTTGATGGCTGAGTGCCAGGCACTTCAGCCGTGCATCGGAAGAACTACTAACTCGAGCCCACCAAATCATCAAAGCCTTGTCTTCAACAGACTCGTCTCCGTCTCCGAGAAAATTCTCCCTCAGTAGGCTCCTCTTCGACAGGCTCGCTATCCTCGGGGACTTCCTCTTCTTCAGGGCCCTCGTCATCTCCGTCACCTTCGTTGTCCTCATCGACTTCCTCCTCGGCATCATCACCATCTTCGTCATCATCCTCGTCGTCGTCAGAGTCCTCATCATCGTCAGAGTCGTCATCATCGTCAGATTCTTCGTCATCATCAGAGTCTTCTTCGTCCTCGGGATCTTCATCCTGCGGCTCCTCCTCCTCCTCGGGGACCTCATCAGTTGGATCCTCTTCATACTGTCTCAAGCGAAGGTTGCGACGATCCTAGTTGCCACGCGTGACCGAGACGTAGACTGTGTGGTTCTCGTTCCACCAGTAGCCACTTTTCCCATTGACAATGCACGTTGTTTGAATTGGGTTCATCATCCGCGCAGTTGTCAAAGCAAAGTCCACATTGTCGATTCCACCAGCTGAGCAGACGGTGGCCTTGCATGAGCCATGAGTCTGGGTGAAGCAAGTTTTGTCGGTCGATACAGTGACTCCATCCTTTTGCCCGGATTGTATCTTTGCGAAAAGGGCTGGGCAGTCAAGGGGGTTTGGGGCAGTGATCTAAGTATCTGTCAGCTCTGTGGCATCGGTACGATGTGTGTCCTTGGCGCTCTATCGCTGATCATGCAGCAGTAGATCCAGGTACATGTGTCGAGAGGTGACAGGAAGCATGATCTAGAAGGGACGGGACGAGCAGACAGGAAGAAGAGAAGCTTACATGGTTGCATCCCCAATCATTTCCAACGCCAGGAATCATCTTGGAGATGGCAGAGCCCGCGTTGGTGGCTATTTTGCGTTGCAGTGTCTCGAAGCTTGGAACATTGTGAGACCTGGGTTGGATCTCTTCATGATGCCGAGGTTTGACTTCCTGGTGGTGGCGTGGCTTGACGTCAATGGGACTGGCGATGCCAAGGGCAGCCAGTGTCAGAGTGATAACAGAGAGAGAGAACATCTTGGAGGCCGGGCTATTGGTGCTGCCGAGTGGCGTACGTCTGAGTGGAAGAAGTGGGTTGAAAGAAATGCTGGCAGAAAGTGTGTTGGTCCAAAAAAGTAGAGGGATGCTGTGGTGTCGTTGGCAGACGAAGGATGAAGAAGAAATGGAAGAGAGGATGGACGTCGGGTTGGGCAGGTTTATATGGGAGAAGACAGACGGTCTGGCCCTTGGACTGCTAACAGCTTGGAGCTTTCGGGAAAGGAGGAAGTTGCCTTCTTCGATGGGAAGGTCGCTAACAGTGACTTACGTACCTGCCCCTGGGCGAGCGTGAAGGCATCTCTCCTTCTCACCGTCAGCGCCAAGGTCATCTGCGGAAGTTGCATCGTACTTCTCAACCTCCATGTCCCTGTCCTTGGAACCTTCCCAATCCAGGTGGAAGTCGTCCATCATGTCACACCTACCCAGCCAAGTCAGGCAACCGTTTGCTCTCCACGACATTAGCGGCAGGAGCATCCTTTCCAAAAGTAGGAAGATGGCAGGAACAGCACAGGCTTTTGAGCAGCGACGTTTTTGATGTTGATGCACGGCACGGGGCTTGAGGTGAGAAGCACCTTACACGACGCACAAGCGGCAGGTACACGAGGTTTCGGTTTCCTTTCGCCGGGCCGATTCTGCGTCGTCGCGAGGTTACACCAATCTAGTCCGTCTTCTATGCTTGTACCACTCGTTGGAAAGATCGAGTCGTTTGTTGCTCCTCCCTGCCTAAGTTGAAGGGAATTGACCACGCGATCATGGCTACCCAGAGGTGGCCGATATGTCGTCACCGCCTTCGTCGAAACACCTCTGAAGAAGCTTGAACGAAACCATGTTGATGTCTCGTGTCGCTGTATTATGTGCACCGTTGCAACTTGATGTCTCGGTTGCCAGCAAGTTCGGAGCCCGGTGTTGCGCATTTCCAGGTTCGAGGTCCTCGAGCTCCCACACCGACTCTTCAGTCAGGGGTTGGACACGTGAGGATAGTCTTCTCGAGCACCATCCTGCAGGTTCACGTTATCATCAAGACCTAAGCTTCTCGTTTTGGCCGACTTTGATCCAAGTATCTGACGCAGGGCTATCACTCCTCAACTCGACGAGAGCACCCGGAGATTCAGGGGCATATAGCGGCATCGAAGAACCAGCATAGTACCACAGAGACTCATATCCCTCCTCATACCTGTATCTTTTGACCAGTTGACCGGTCGTTAGTAACATCGTAGCTTCTAGTGACTGGAAAAGGAGTATCTCGTGTACCTAGTCCATATACTAAAGTGACTGGGTGTAGATTGAGAGATGGGCAACCCGGTAAGTTCGGCGATGATCTGATCGGCCGAGACATGCGTGCGAAATGTAAGAAGCGCTTTACGTGTAACTGCCTACAGTTTAATCGTGATGTGACCACATTGCTACATGTACAAATCCTACACTAGCAGCCCGCCACCTCAATGACGTGTCGAAATTTCCGCCCAAAGCGATTTGCGAAGATAAGGGGTGCTGGAGTCCAGGATGACCAGGATTTAAAGGACAATGGTCCGACTACCTTGGTCTCTCTAGCTTACTGGGGTCGTTCCAAATACATATCTCAACCTACTCAGCTCATAAGAGCATCATGCAACTCGCTTCATGCGTCGTATATAGAAATCTTCCTCCTTGAGGGCATAACCTGCAGATATTCACAAGTGTGACGGCGGATTGATATCATAGACCTGTTTTCGGATAAACACTTTCTGATGCCGAGTGGTCTAGATCTAAATCCAAACAAGCTGACACTTTATTGAGAACAGATAAGACTTCAGGGTAGGTAAAGAAGGATATCTGCTCGAAGCCACCTAGGTGAACTGCTATAGAAGGCGCTAGATAATCGGAATAATGGCTTAGGCCGAGAATATATAAGCATGATGTCCGAAGCAAGCTATTGAGGCAATCTTCCCAAATCGCCCTCTTCGATGCATACAGTGAGAGAGATAGACGAGGCTGATGGGCCAAGAAATTTCCTAGGCCTCCTTCAATAGGGATTCCCTGAGTTTTTGTAGTTCAATTCTTGTAGACGCAATCTTTTTCCAGATGAAGATGCAGCCAAGAATCGTGAGAAGGAGGCACATGAGACTCAGCCAAATGACAACTATGACCTGCAACCCAGGGCCGCCGAAAGTTCCAATATCCATGATTGCTTGCTGTTATCGGGCTTGGGTGAGGGATCTGTTCTTGCTTGTCGTCCTGAGGTAGAAGAATGATGTGTCTGAGCTTGAGCTAGTTAGATCCATCATCAGCGATACTACTCAGCGAGAGGTGCGCAAAATACCAAATATGAAGTTCGAAGTGCAATATTACCTGGCGTCAAATTCCCAGCGCCGGCGCGACGTGTCTTGAACTTCCCGGGTTCGTGTATATGTGGTTTCTGGTAGTATCTTCATCCGAATGACAGTTGATGTATCTTCTCGTCCGAGTATTCCATCGTATCCAAGTCATCTCTCACGTATATATCATCCCATCACAACAAAGCATCTGCTGTCCACAGAACAGCGTCGCCCCCAGGCCAAGGGAAACACCACCACCCACAAAGGAAGCAAAATCACCTGTGCAATCATCCTTTGACATCTCATTTACCCCCGGCAACTCTCCACTCACCCAAACTATTCCTGTTCTTTATGCTTCTTCAGCGGACTCTTCCACTCTTGTCTCTTTGGCAAGCACGACACGACAAGATGGGTTTTGGCCAGTGAGGTGTTGACCTGTTCGCCATCACAAGGCACTCAACTGCCCCTGTGGACCAAAAATAAATCCCATACGTCTTTTGATCACACGCCTTTCAGTCAACAGCAAGCTACCTGCCTCATCTCGACCCTCGACCTTGGTCTCGACCAAGTAGGGCTGCTCTCCCGCACCTCCCCTCTTCACAAACACTCACCTACCTCACAAAGCCATTGTTTACTTTGACCTCCCACATACATCCACACTTTTCCTTGAGCAGAGGTGAACTTTTCCTTTTTCACTCCATCTCCCAACTTTTCCGTACAAACCAGACACAAGACGACGCAAAATAAAAATTGGCAAGGTCAGGGAAGAAGAACATCGCTCAAGAAGGAGGCCGCATTCCTGCCCCCCTTTTCCTCAGTACACTTCACCCACACAAGTATTTCTCATCCCACTTCCCCATCGATCCATCACCGGACGACTGCGACAACAATAAGAAAATCACTTCCATTGTGAGCGGTAGAAAGAGATCTCATTCATCTTTTCTACTACACTCGCTCTTCCCCTAAACAAAAACATCACAAATACCACGTGCGATCGTGCCCAGTAGGTGACTTTTCCTTCTCACCACTCACATCCCCCCTCCATCTCGAAAATAGCAACAACTCACCAGCATCTAGACGGAGCTCAGTTTGCGATATCGTTTTGGCATTTCTGCTAGGTTGCTTTCTGTTGTTTGTCCAGCATTTTGCAGCCTACAGCTATACGCACGATACCAGCACATTTATTCGACTTGACTCGACACAACACAACGATACTCTTAGCTCATAGCTCACGATAACTTCTGCCGACCGTATATCCCTATACCCAAGCGAACGAGACGGCGTCATACACACCCACAAGACTCGTACTGCCCCTTTCATACATACATCAAGTCCCTATTGAGGGCATCTTCCAAGATGGCGCCATCACCAACCGTAACCTTAAAACCCATCCTAGCAGCATTCACACAGCCGCCAACAGCAACTCCAACAACCCTCATCACGACAGTTGCAAACCTCATCCCCCGAACCGCAACAACCGTCTCCGTCTACATCACTCAGATTCCCTCGGCCTCCGCAGCACCAGACACACCAAAGCTCAAGGACCCAGTCTACGGCAACCTCACCTGGACCTTCATCGTCGTCCCCTGCGTTCCCGTTATCGTTCTCATCTTCTTCATCTTCACCTGCTACCAGGAGCGCCGCCGCGCCATAAAAAACATGAAGAAGAACCCCGACATCGAGATGCAGACTTTCCACAAGTTCTGGTTTCCCTGGCGCGAGCTCGATAAGAACGAGGTCCCCAACGAGGTAAGTCAAAGCAGAACCAACCCGTCCTCTTCTCAAATCACATCCCTCGCCCCCGGTGCCCGAGATAGTGGTGTTGTTGATCCTGGCGATGCTGCTGCTGCTGCTGCTTCAACTTCAGCTCCAGCTCCCAGCGGCAGCACATCCCCAGGCATCCTCATCCTCGAAGAACACCCCCGTCGCAAGAAGCGTCGATGGACAGCGTGGCACCCAAGTGACGGAACCCAGATTCCCCCCATAACCCTTTACGAGAATCCCCCCTCCTGGGGCCGACGACACCTCTGGTCCGAGGTCATGGCGTACCCATCCCTCCTGAATCCAGGCCTCATCCGTCGTCGAAACAAAACCCCCACAAACACCAAGCCCGATCCCGCCGACGATACCTCCTCCTCTTCCTCCTACTCCTCCCCTCCGAGCCCGAACGCCTCTCCCCCGAGACTTACCTCCCCTCGAACCGCTCCCCCGAGAATCTCACCTCCTCGAACCCGCGGCGGTCTACCTGTGATCACCGAAACGGAATCCGACGATGGCGACATCGCCACCGCTCGAAGACGCCCCCGATTCGCAGAGCCCACAACTCGAATCATCGAACCCGAACGCGAATCCGGTCCAGAACGAGATACTAACCCTTACCCTTCCCAGATCTACGGAAGAACAGGCCGCCGTCGCCACTGGGGCCACGAAGATGACCATCCCCGTGAGGGCCAGAGCTCCAGCTCCAGCGAGAACCAGACAGACACGTCAGACGAAGGAGACACCAATAACGGTTCTGACAACGATGGAGGAAACCACTCGGACGCAGACTCCATCACCACACAGAAGCCCCTCCGTCCCCCAACCGACATCCCCTCCTTCGGCCGCTTCAAGAACATCTCTTCCTCAACTACCACTGGTACTCCAAAGAGCACCACCACCGCCGCCGCAAGCAGCAGCGGCAAAGGCACTTGGGCAGCAGGCCATATCCCCTCCTACTACGGCGCCTCTCCATCCCCAGCGCACACTCACGTCCACCAGCAGCAGCCATCTTCAAGCGCATCCACCTCGGCAACCCCAACAGCAGCAGCAGCCGCCGGCGCCGCAGCCCTATCCCGCCGAGCCCACGCCGCAGCGTCTCGAGCCTCAGCCGCAAACTCAGACGGCGTCTCCCCTCTCTCCAGCGCGCGATCCTCCACCGTAACCGTCACCGGCGACTCCCGCCGCCGAACAGCAAACACCGTCTCCAGCATCGGATCCGAGCCGGGCTCTCCAACCCGCTTCGGCACTGTCGAGTGGCGTTCCGCTCTCGTCTTTGACTCTGACGAGGAAGAAGGCCAGGGCAGCAGCAACAACAAGACGGGAAAGAAGAATGCCAAGCCCTAGAACAGCGAGGCCTCTTCTTCTTCCGCTGCTGCTGCTGCTGCTGCTGCTGCTGCTGATACCGCGCTTCCCGTTGTAGTCGACGAGACCGTGACCAAGGCCAAGTCAAAGTCCAAAGGCAAAGGCAAAGCCAAGGAATATACCAAGCCCCAAGACAAAGGCAAAGGCAAGGCGGAAACCCAACCCAGATCCCCCGGAGCCAAGACCGACAACATCACCGCCAAGGCCAAACCTAGATGCACCTGTAAAGGCAAAGGCAAAGGCAACGCCGTAGCCGCAAGTGGCGGTGCTGAATCATCCACCTCCGCGTCCGCGTCCGCGTCCGCATCCTCGTCATCCTCATCCTGCCCACGGCACTCTCACCAAAGCCACAACTCCGCCGTGGTCGAGGCATCCCAGTCCACCCCCGCGGCACCGGACACCCGAGACCCGGCGCGCAAGAACAAGAACAAGGCTCATCGCAGATCGATTACAGAGTGGCCCCGCGTCTGCTCCGGCTGCGGCCAGGTGGGATAAAGAAGAAGAAGGAAGTAGACTCCCCGCGACGCCAATTCCCCCTGTCTCATCGATTCCGTCTGGCTGTCAAGTGAACGAGAGCGAAACGGTACAGTTACAACGATCCATCTGATACTTTTTCGGAGGACGTGGGGGAGGGAGAGACGGATGGAAAGGGAAAAGGGACGGCAGTAGAGTGGGCGGCCGAGGTGTTCGCAAAAGGGGATGGAGAAGAAAACCAACCCACGATGAACGGCGATGCCCATCCACGACGAACACACTTCCCCTCCCGAATCCAAGATCCATCCCACCGACACCACCATTCCCATCTCATCTGAAGAAAATCCCACCGCTATCGTTGGTACACCAAAAGCCCCGTACTCGCTTGGCGCCCCGCGGACCCGAATACCATGCCAAAGATGGAAGTCCATCCTTTTCAGTTCGCCATGGAGGGGGGATCGACAAGTGGGAAGGACGGACGGCTCAGTTCAAAACTCTCTTGAACCTTTTCCTCCGCACTTTCTGCACCTTTTTTGCTTCTTCAGCCACAACTCAGGACAAGGTGATATCCCCGTCCCTTCCCCCCATCCATCACCTATTTTCCTCTCTCTCCCCTTCGCTCTCTCTCTTGCACACAACTCTTCTAACACGTTTGAGCCATCGCTCTAGTTCCCTCTCGTTCGCTTACTACACCATCCCATCCTAGCCGACATCTTGGATTTGAGATGGGGTAAAACCCCGCGGAACTTTCTTTGACTCTCTTTTCTTTCCTTTTTCTGAAATCTGCACGCGGTGCGAGAGATTGTGCGTGTGTAAGGATATTGTATGTCTAGGTATCAGGATAAACGAGGAGTACCTCTTTGAACTTTGCTGGATCGGATCGGGATCCGGCACACTTTGCAGCCTGTACTATTCGGTGATGGCCCTTCCAAGCATGAACGTGATTGCCGAGGTGGTCGGCCTATGTGTCCTTGTCAGCTCGTCTTTCGGTCTGTAGGAAAGAAGGGTCTACCCCAACAAACGTGCGTCGTTTCATGGCAATCACTTTGGCCAAAACACGTAAAAAGAAGGGATGATCCATGTCCAGCAGGTGGAAGAAGACTCGAAACGACGGGAGACGCAAAGATTGAAGATGAGGATATGTGTAACCAGAAAAATGCAGGATACCCGTCAGCCAGAGCGCTTCTCGACTGCGGGGTCCCTGATGAACTCTTTGATTGCTCTCGCCTGATACCCTAATGCGTATAGAGGCCGTCTAATAGAGAAGCCTGACAATAATAATCCCACCCCAATAGTCCTTTTATACCACAAACCGCAGCTATGGCGAAACCGCATGCGTCTCTCCTTGACGCAGTAAGCGTGCCTCCAATACCCTTGTACAAAAAGTGCTGGTGCTGTTCTCCCCATTTGAAGAATCGAAAAGTAGGAAAAGCCCTGGTCTCTCCGTAAACGTAGACATCAAAGTGTATTGCTTCGTGTCTCGTAGCGCCGATGCCCTCGGACTTCTCACAGCCCGGTGGGTTATCGTGACCCCTTCTGTAGGATACTGAATCGCAAAGTGCCGCTGCTCGCTCGCTGATGGAATGTCCATGCATTGAACTCCAAAAAACGCCTGATCATAATTATGGTGGCCCCTTCCCTTTGTTGATAACAAGGCTCGATGTAAAAAGAGACAGCAGAGGAACAGCCGCCCGAGGTGACCATCGGGCGACAGTAATAATGGTTCGTTGTATATAATACAAGCTGAAGGGAAAGCGGCTCGAGTGTGGTAGTAGTAGAGCGTCTATGCGGCTATGTTCGGTGTGATAGTCGGCTGAATGGCCAGATTGACGTTTTGTAGTCCATTGTCGAAGTGTAAATGTCGCCGAAAGACTTGTCTTCTTCACTTGTTTCCGTCAGGGGTGCCCCAGATGGGTGCGCCCAAAGGCTTGCTGACGCCAAAGCCGACACCAACACCGACGCCAATAACGAGGAGGCCAATGGCAACCTTCATGATGATGCGGTTCTTCTTGCTCATGCGAGCCATGCAGGCGCAGGAGCCCCTATCACGCTTCGCGGCCTTCGCCTTGGCCTTCCAATCCTGCTTGCCCGGCCATATCGTTGGGCAGTCTTTTGTAGTCGAGATGCTCTTCATGGCGTACGGGTCGGAGGAGGATGTCGTGGTGATCATAGCCTCGATGTCGGTATCGAAGGGGTTCTCATTGCGGTACGACCGCGGGGTAGAAAGGTTGCTGTCGCGGGGCATTTCCAGGCTCTTTTCGGGGGTTGAAGCGACAGGAGTAAGTGTGCCCGGGGTCGTGGCGATGGTGTCGGACAGCTTCGAGTACGCCGCCTTCTCGGGGAGAGCAATGCTGGCGACCGTGGTGTGAACGGCCACCTTTTCTTGAGGAACGGCCATTGTTGCGGTAGTGGGTTGGCAAGGCTAGCTTGCTAAGGATGTGTGTGACGAGAGTGTCGTATCGAAGGATCAATGTTCAATTGCCGTGGATGTCTGTCCAGAGGGGAGCAGGTGCAATTGCCCAAGACTGCTGCGAGAGGTGGGTTAGTCAATGGCATTGACGAGGTATCAAGAGTGAATCAGGGCAGAGGCTGAAGGAGAAGTGGGTGAAGTAGGATATGAATTGAGATCAACGGGAACCAGACGGGGAGAAGGACTGGGGTGACGTACATTGAAGGGAAGCTCACCCAACAAGTGACCCAGTGTGTAAGGAATGAAGAATGACAGGCGAAGCCAAATGCCTTGTAGACGAGCAGCAATGGCCTGATATCAACCCACTCGAATGGTTCCAGCCAACAGGTGAGGAAGCGGAGCAGGTGGGCAGTCGGTGCAAGTCCCAAGCCGAGTGTCTTTGCACTGACAGACGGTTTCGAAGCCGAACCCTGCGGAAGGGTCTGGTGATGTCAACCGGGGGGTGGTTGGCAGATCGAAGAGGTAGCGAGACACGGGGCGCGGAAAGGGAGAGTGAGGATTGGCGTTGAAATTGAGAGTGTGGGAGTGCGGTCGACAGAGGCGAGTTGACTTAAGGGAGGAGGAAGGGGAGTGCGGCGTAGATGAAGGGTCCGAGAAGTAGGTAGGAGGAGCTAAGCTGGTGGCAGAAGAAAAAGCTCGATCCAACGGGTGGTGGGAGGATCAGGATTTTGGATTTGGATTTTTGAGGACGACAGATGGTAAACGGTAGACGGCCGAGGACTCTTCAGAGAAGAGACGAGACGAGACGAGGATGGCGAATGGCGAGAGACGAGACGTTGAAACCAGAAACCGAAGACCCGTTTAACAGCGCATTTGGGACGACCTTTGACTTGGCAGATGTTGCAAAGTTGAACCCTCGATCAAAGAGACGACACACGGCAGCAGCAGAAGAGAAGGGCCTGAGAATGAGAGCAAACGTGCACGGGGAGGGAGGTGTCACGATGGTTTTATTGGGGATGGCATGTATGGCATTGCGTGTGTAGGTACTCTCGAGTCTTGGTCGTTTGGTTCTTTGGGTGTGGACTGTGGATTCTGCACCTGGATCAGCCAGAGACGCAGTGAGTAGGGGATAGAGAGCAAGAGAGGCAGACTGGGGGGAGTGGATGTTACGACGACAGAGGTGTGTGTATACAAATGCTCCGTACAACGTACAGAAAGAGAGCGGGCAGGTGCAAGGCAAGGTAAGGTATCCACCTGTAAAGTACGTACTCATTAGTTAGTGGCCGACGGGTGTGTGCGAGACAGCCCAAGAGACACAGAGCAAGAGCGGAGAGACTGAGAAAGAGCCACAGAGCCACGAGAGCGGCAGAGGCCAGAGAGAGAGACGAGAGTGAAAAAGAGCAAATTGGTGAGTGACAGACATGGGATGGACGAGCGAGACGAGATTGTGGATGTGCATCGCGCAGGGAACACCAGTATACGTACCGGTACGTATCCTGCACAACCACAGTACGTACTTATCTTTCGAGGACCCTCTTGGGTCTGGGGGGAAGGAGGAGGCAAATGGAGCAAATGGAGCAATGGAACAAGCCGGGGTGAGCCATTGGGGTGTCAATGGGAGTGGAAAGAGTCGAATGGAGCCAAGATTGCGCCGGGCAGGGGCACCATGGGGACCCAGGCCCGGCTACTATTTTCTCTTGCAGCAGCATATTTTCCCTCGCCTTTTTTCCTTTGCACCACAGTCTGCAGTCTGCACTATCAATATCTGGACGACTACGAATAACTGTACGTTATTATGCCATGCCACTTTCTGCTGGGGGGGCTAAATTGACCGGGCCAGACAGGCCCACCAGCCAAACAAGGGCTGTCACTGTCAGTCTAGCTCCAGACGCCAGCACCAGCACCAGCACCAAAAAAACCTGCACCAACACCAGCATCCGGCATCATCACAGGCCGGTTTGTTCTTCTTTTTCTCTCTTTCTCTTGTGGTTTTTGTTTCTGGTGCAGGGCCCAATGCTGGAGCTTGGGACACTTGGGGTTTAGGAGACAGACACACCACACTGACCTTGACACTGACACTGGACGGCGGAACCGGCAGCGGCGACGAACTCGTCGAGAAGGAAATCGGAATCGCGCATTGATGCCGTCGAATGTCGAAGCGATGCGAGGTGAGGCGATGCGGTGCGATGGAAAGTATCCGTTCGTGTACTCTTGCCCTATTCCTTTTCTTTTTTTTTGCCTTTTGTCTGCTTCTATTCTTCATTCTAGGTTTTCGAGCCTTGCCATGGGCCTCCCTTGACTTTGTCCTTACCTAAGGTTCCTCTGTAGCGATGTACCTCGCATGTTTCTTACCTAATACACCGACTGCAAAGCCCGTAAATCGGACAAGATACGTACCCTCGACGGCTCCAGTCTCCACGAGGACGAGGACGAGGGGAAAAGAAAGGAATTTTGAACCAGCTGAACCGGGGTCACAAACAAACTCGCAGCCCCCGTGCCTGGCCCTTTGCTGCGTACACAGTAGAGCCTGTAGACTCTTTACTAGTGTACTCCGTAGTAGATTCAGAGACTGTCTTCATTGTTGCAACCTCTACCGTGCTACCTCGGGCCAGTCCAGACCACGCATCAGGTCTGCAACCAGATCTAGGCTTGCCCTCTTCCTGTCCTAAGCTGGCATGGCTGGTAGGGCTACTGGGGTTGCCGACCTGCAAGACGGCTCACGAGACCAGCCGCACAGCAGAGACACACGCACACATGCGCCGTAGACGGGATGAAAGAAGGGAGCCAGCGGCTGACAGGTCTGACCAGCGCGACTATTGCACATGTGGGACGTCCGTGTGTGTCTCTGTTTCTGGCTGCCGCTCTGTGGCATCGTAGGCGTGGCCGTGGGAGTGAACAGTAACCAACTTGGACGATCTGGGCCAAATGTACGGATACTGCGTATGCCCCCCGCCATGCGCCGTAGCTAGAGCCGAAACAGGTTACTCTTGACCGTGTGCTTGCGGGGAACTACTTCCAAGGTTCTTCGTCTTCTTCTCCATTATTGCGGCGCCCTGTGCCTGTGTTCAATGTTGTATTGTGTCTGTGCCTGTCATCAATAACAAGCCTGGTGGCCTGTCAGAGGGGCGAAACAAAAAGTTGTTAGTTGTTAGTGGAAGCAAACAAACGGTGAATCAATGTCCTCCTTCGTCCTCGGCAGATACTGAGTTGATTGGCGATGACTGAACCACCCAGAGTAATCGTCAAAAGGTTAAACCCAATTGCATCTGGCCATCGTAGCAGCAGCCAGCCGGGAGAGGACAAAACTGCAACGATCCAGAGGAAAGCAGGAGCAGGAATCCAGCCACGCGACCATGGCGGTCAGCCATTGAGTTGTCGATGGCCCGTGACGAGTCAAGCTTGCAATGATCGACTTTTTTTTTCCTGGAAGTTGTTTGCTTGTGGCTCATGGACGCACGCGAAAGATGGTAGGAATACCTGCACATACCTACCTACTCGGTAGAGAACAGCAGGGCAGGAGGCAGGAGGCAGAGACAACTTGCACCTGCCAGTGCCATCTGCCCGGCGTGCCACCGTGCCTCTTGCCTCGCACTTGGGGAAGAAGGTTGCAGTAGCGGGATAGCGGTGGGTTGGTTCGCGCTATGGAAAGCGCCCCCGGTCCTGGCTTCCCTTGATTGGCAAAAGTGGGGTCTGGGTTCCATCTGCGCTGCCGTTTTTGGGACTGGCTTCTTTCCTTTTCACAAAAAACACACTCCACCAGCGGGAATCTCCATGTCATTTTTGCTTGTTTGTTATTGGTTGATCTGGGCTCCGTGCTCCTGGACCTGCCCTGGTCACCCTTGTGTCGAAGACGCTTGAAGCGGGAGGCAGGTCCCACCTGTGCCGTTCATAGTTTAGTGCCCATCTGCACAAAGTACGTATCCCCTCACTCAATTCATCCTCCAATGCTCAGGTCCACCAACTTGGAAGGAAGTCTCTGAGCCTCTCACTGCTCCTGCTGTTGATTCCCCAGGTAGTCCTGCTGCCATCCATGCGCATCTTACAGCTGCATGTCTACCAGTCTCTCAATCTTTCGCAACGGTTCTCACCACTCATTGCCATGATTGCACAGTAATTTGCCTTGGTGCCATTTACCTGATGCCGCCCCTCTTCTTCACATGAATCCTCCAGTGGAGGTCGTCATTCTCTGCGCGTGTTTGCGCTGTGTTTCCCCTCATTTGGCACGCATCCATCCTTCAGGCACCCCCGGACCAAGCTGAGTAGCAGCCAGTCAGTAACTGCAGCTCAACTTCAGGTTGTCCAAAGAGGCATTGCTGACTGTATGCGCTGACACAGACGTTCAACTTCATTCCTCTAGAAGTCTACGCAAGAAGTCTACAGCGTGATCCCCAGCCACTGCCGGCGCCGTCCTGTCCCGGAAACCTACCAAGACCAACTGCCAAGGGTACCCGTCAAGAGGCTTTCAAGTAACGCCACCGCGGACTGCGTACGCAAGTCTTAGCTGCTGGCCGGATTCGCCCTGGCTCCCTATCAACGACGTTCACTTTGTCGCACCACGAGGAGAAACCTCCAGCCGTCTCCAAGCCACCGCTTGTGAAGAGGCCGCAAGCTTCACCGTCCTCGTCCTCGCCTTGTCATACCCGAATGCCCAGCAACAGACGGCACTCTTTGATCCGCAAAGAGGTTGGGTCCGTCACGAACAGCCCGCGTATTCATCGTCCACCGTCGCTCCCCTTCGACGCTCAACCCGAGGGAACAAGGGAAACATCCTCGAGGCTCCAGGACCCCTCTTTCACTGCCTTCTCCCGCTTCTGGCCTGCCCTGCTAGTCAACTGGGCTCACCTATCCCGTACCGTACACTACAGTACACGCACACCCCTCGCCCCGGCCGTATCAAGGAGCACCACTACGCCGTACACTGCAGCAGTTCTCCCCTCTGGGCGAGAAAAGAGGACCATCCTGGCTCCCTCTCGCCTCTTCCTTGGATAAAGACGACTTCGACACCTGCAACCACCGGCGACAGGCTATAACAGCCCCCAGTTGCACAGCAAGCAAGTCAAGTCAGGATGCACATTCCGTCCCGGCGCATTGGGAGTTCCATCCTGATTCATCTTGCTGCCGCCGGGCCTCTTTTGCTCATTCGTTGAGACGCACGCTCGGTTCCCAATTGGGTCTTTTGGGCCATCCGGCCGAGTGGCCGTCCCCCGTCTCTTCATCGGTCCCTCCATGGCGGCATTTTTTATCTCTCAACCTACCGGCCCTTCAACCCAAACACCCGGCCGTCCATCTTCCACGGCCGTGTTATGCCACCGGCCCTCGTCTTTATGCAGATATATGCAACCTGCCAGCGTGGTCCATGAAAGGGTCTATGCCGTGCATAGTAGCAGCTCCAGCATCAGTAACTTGACATGCTAGGCTAGGCACCTTGTACTGCTCCTGCGACCTGCCATGCAAGATCCAAGGCCTCTGGAGTTTGCTATCGCTCTCCCCGCAGCACAGGCACAGGTATCGGCCCAGAATGAAATTTCGAGCGACACAGCAGCCAATGCGTTCCCCAGTTTCCATCTTGCGCTGCCGCCGTGTCTTGAGAGAGAGAGTTCGTCGGGGACGCTCCCCTGTCGCTTGTTACAGGATCAATACCCACATATTCCACCCATTTTATCTTTTCCCCCCCTTTCCTTGGACGCGTCGCCGTTCCCCTTGTTGCTCGTCACTTGTCACCCATCAGTGACTACCTTGACAGGCTCCGTCGCATTGAAGACGTTCATCATGTTTGGCGAAACGACCCTGGCAATCGGGTCTCTTCATGAGGCAGACAGGCGTGACGGGATCCATACTTGACTTTGCCGCCCCCAGTCTATCCTGCCCACTTGTCTCGCTTGCTGAGAAACTACGGAGCGTCTCCTTCTCCCTGCGTCAGTATGGATCCAGGTCGTTGTTGTTCTAACTTTTGCGTCAGAACAGACACCATCCATCCATCGCTTCTTATTTTGCGCTATGATGATGAGCGAG